GAACAAATGATAGTCATGCCGGCCCAGCATCTTCAACGTTTAAAAATGCCCCAACTCGAAGTGGTTAATTTGACCAACATTGTGTAGAGTTGGAGAATTGTTGTGGATAAAAATTTGCCTAACTCTGGTTTATTACATCTTGTCGCAATGTATGATACATACGTGTGCAGCCTCGTGGCTCAGAAGCATACCAGGTTTGTAAAGGTCATACGTGTACGGTGTCCTAGAAATGCCAAACAGGATAACAATAAAGGAGTGCCTGTGTGGTTTGATACTAAGAATTGAAGAGTAGATGACTGAGTTATTGGGTTTGGTAATTTCAATCAGGGACTGGTGGGCCTGTGGAGCACCGGGGAGGAGGCAGTGCGAGTGCTGTCGTTCCTGTCGCTCTTCTCAATCCATCGCTGCATGCTCAAGAACGGCTGGCTGGAGTACATCCTGAAGGTAGGAGACTCACTTCAACATGTCAGTGATGTTCCCCCCAATTCCTGCTCCAGGGGTTTCCTTGATGTTGTCGTGGCATTAATATTGGCCATGTCAACCATATCCTTGCCCGACTCATGCACCACATGTTTCTTCACTTATCAAATTTGACTCTATCTGTGCAGTGTGGCATCAGCAAGAAGCATGTGTGAACTGCACACATGCACAGTGGGTGGGGCTGACTTCTGACTGCATTGATGTGTTCTTTGCAGTAGTTGTAGTCGAGACACGACCGTCCACAAGACCAGTTATAGAGTACCGAAGTAAATGTGTCATGAGCAGGGCTCTATTTTAAAGGAGTGCGCTCGCGCTCCTCCGCACTCCTTAATGTTTTCGAAGGAGAGCAAAAAAAGCGCTCTTTAAAAATTTAAGGAGTGCATGTTTTTTTCAAGCCAGCGGATGTTGATTTATGACAAGCCCCTTGAATCTTGTTGGGTCGACAGTAGCAAACGAGTCCAAAGATTGGATGTGTTAAAACACAAGGGCTGGTGATCAAAGTCTTTGAGTTGTGCGCGCGTGCTTGATGAATCCCGCATCGCAACACACAAATGCGATAGCGAATTTGGGCGAGCCTAGTGCGTGTGGGCAGGCCTGTGGAATTCCATGGACGCACATGGCCGCGCCCGGCCGACCTCTCTCCCAGAACGGGTCGAGTTCAGGCGCTACCATGACGTTCTCGGCTGTTTGTGAACAGCAGAAGTGAGTTTGTGAAAAACCCTGTAGTGGCTGGAGGATGGTGTGTGATACTGTTGCGTGTTCGCGTGGTGCGAGCGCGAGAACAATGTTCGCTTGTCGAGAACAGAAAGTATGTCACAGGAAAGAAAAAAAGTCTTTGGCGGGTAATGTGCCCGGTGTTCTATACGAAAATGCACTGGTCGAAGTAGTATTGTGAGCGCAGGAAGGAATGATGAATACAATCTGCAGGGGACGCGCAATACGTTTTAAAATACCAAAAAGAAAGGATGCACATGCGCAGTAAATTCAGAGCCCCTGTAGCAGCGAAATGGATTGTCGGGCAAGCGAGGAGACTAGTCAAGTTATGCACCTGTCAATTGTAATCCCAGCCCCGGGGGACCGGGGACTAGCGGGCACTTGGCGGGGCAGATAAAACGGGGCCATTGTTATAGTCCCGGCCAAGTCCCCGTAATTTGCGCGGCCAGGGCGGGGCACCTTTTTTTGTATTCCCCGGCTAGGCCTTCAAGTTGTGACCAATCCCCGCACAATCCCTGCCCCAGCTTGCGGGGTTGTGTCACAACAACCATACAACTATAAATAAGTAACTAATAACTTTCATTAATTTCTAAAAGTCCCTTACTCTTCTGGGTCATTGCTAAGATGACATCGAGTCAGTCGCCGTAAGTGCAGGTAAAATGCCACCGAAATAAGGCAAAGCAAGGGGCAACTGCTATAATTATCCCAAACTTTGGCGAAACATTCATCCGCATATCTGAAGCACCGCAATCAGGGGGCCAACGACCCAAATCGCTACAATCTTTCTTTGCGAACGTCTCAGAAATAATTATGGAAATACATCCAATAGCAAAATTTGTTATGCGCTGTGTGGAGACCAATTGACCAATTGAAATGCTCGTTATGTACATGTGGCCATGGCCAGTGCCAGCACATAAGACAATTAACAATTATCACAACACTTCATTTGTTTATTGAAGATTGATCTAGAAGGTAACCAATGATTTGAAATGCATCGCCAAATCAAAGACACGTGACCAGTGCTACTTGGTTGAAAGATTAAATTACACATTTTTTAATCATTTAGTAGTCCATAGAAAGTGGCGACAATGTTTGTAAAAAAAGAAAGGTCTGTATTTTGCATGCACTAATCCCCAAATGAGGTGCTATCTTTGTCAGGTTTTCATCTGTCAGGGTAGGGGAAACACTTTTAGATGATTTAACAAATTGTACAACCCCCGCCTAGTCCCTGCTATCGTCCCGGGTCAGCGGGGCAGCCATTGTACAACCCTGGGCAAGTCCCCGCTATCGTCCCAGCCGGCGGGGCACTTTTTTTTGACATCTTGGGTACGTCCCCGCTTTATTTTCGAAAGTCCCAGGTCCCCCGGGGCCGGGATTACAATTGACAGGTGCATTAACCCAATGAACTCAGTAAAGGAAGTTAAATTGTGTTAATTTTATTGAGTTTGTTTACATTAACTTGGTTTTTTAGCGAGAGCAAATCGCCCCCCTTAATTCACTTTGTCGATTTAAGGAGAGCAATTTTTAAGCGCTCTCCTTAAATCAACAAAGTGAATTAAGGAGAGCGATTTTTAGCTCTCCTCATATTTAGTAAAATGAAGCCCTGCATGAGCACAATTTTGTGTGTGTACGGCGTGAGGTCAAAATACAGACGGTTTAGAAACAGTTCAACGGTAGGTGTTAATCCCCCTTCATTCAGTTCATCACTTGGAGTGGGACAGTTCAACGGTTTGAAAAGAACCGTCTGCCATGGACTGTCCAGCTTTACAGGCAACCTTGACAACAATGAAGTTTGTGGCTTATACTACCCCAGCGGTGTACTATATATCCTATTGAAGGAGAACTTCAAAGGGCCCAGGTCAGCCCTCCTTGGCTGGCCAAAGGATTAGTGGTTTACACCTTGCGATGCAGAGCCAAATGACTTGCATTCTAGGCTACAGACGCTGCTCCAGCCTCGTACACAAAACCCTTGAATGGGTAATTCATGACAAAAGACATCTTCAAAAGACTGATGTCCGTCTTTAAGTGCTTTTGAAACTGGAAAATAAAGAACTTTATTTGCTCGCTGGAAATCTTACCGTCTGATTAATCGTCTCTGTAGAGACATAGACACAATTTGAATTTATTTTGAACTTCAGTCAGGTTCACAAATATTCTTTGAAGGTACATGTACAAGTCAAACTCCGCATCAATTTATGTTTGTTGTTTTTAATTTTAAGGAAAACAAAATGGCACGCTCTGCAATTTCTAATTTTCCACAATAATCTCATTAGTAGGCCTAACCAGTTATTCTTGTTTACATTAATGGAGCTGTTTTGTAGTTGGTGAATTTCAAGACTGACACTATAAAGACAAATTAGTGTACTAAATAGGCTTCCAAACGAATCTTCTTACAACATACATGTAACCATGTAGTAATAAAGTGTAAATGTTAGAAAATGTTCAAATGCAATCCTTAACACTGCATGGGAATGTGCTTTACTCTAACAATTATTTTTATGTCCTGGTATCGCTACACAGAGTCTACATAATGATTTCAGGTACCTGTACTACATGTATGTTTCCGAATACTCATCTCATACCGGGCCCTTTTGCAGCATTGATTGAGTGCTTTTACTGTTTTGCAACAGTTTTCCGTGTACCAGTCTGTAAAAGCTGGGAACTGCAATTTTGCTTGATGAAATATGCTCTGAATGAGGCTTCGGTCTATTTGAGGAATCTTGTACTTTTTATTGTTCTCATCTCTGGAGTTGCCTGTCACATTCATGGTGGCCAGTTCGTTCTTCGGAATCTCTCATTTGAGGATATTCACACATAAGAGTCTTCCTTTTTCGTTGTCCGTTGATGATTTCCTCTGCTGTACCTCTTTCAAAATGGCTTTGTAGTCATCAACCGAACGCTTCATGGCCTCGTTTCCTCCAAGAAGATGCTGCTATTTTCATCGTGAAGAGTACGCGCAGAGAAAAAAAATGAAATGCAAACCACTCAACCTGAAATCAACGCGATGTCTTCATGCCGCGGACACATGTCGAGTTGACTAATACAAAATGAGTCCGCTCATTTTTCTATTCCTCATTTTTTTAAAGGTGATCAAGGATAGAATGCGGTTTGTAGACGTAATTTACAGTTCTGGAATCTTATCTTGAAGCCAAAATGAAAACAAAATGCAACATGCGCACATGTACTACTGACTCGACGAAAAAAGCAGGTGCAGCCGAGCGCGAAAAGTGGAAAGTGCATAGTAGAATTACTATATTCGCGGCGTCCCGGATTTCAGTCATATTCCCCAACATAGTGTATTATTGGAAAACGTTGAATTCAAAGAACCAGACTTTATTCTACGATTTCATTCCGACCCCCCCCCATCACCTGGTACCATCGCACTACAGGTTTAACATTTATACTGTACGTTCAAGAACACGACCGAAATTGGGGACGCCGCAAATACGGTCTGTTCGCGTACATGTTTTCCTCAATCCTACACATGAAAACCTGCCGGTGCTTACCAAGGAGCAAAAAAAGAAAAAAGGTTGTATCAATAACTGCGCGTTAACGAACAGAACAAACTGTCAAGTACGATTCGTGTAGATTTCGAGTGAGTATGATCGATTCCGCATGTGCACAATTAGATGTGTGTTTGACTCATGATACCGAGACAAAAATAATACTACAATAACAGGGTATCAAGACATGAAAAAACGGGTCTGGAAACCGACAGCATGGATATTTCGCATTTTATAGACGATGCAACTATTCAATATTGTCAGGAAATTAAAACAGTCTGCAAATCCTGGTGGCTGTGGAGCAATTGAAATGACTCATCCACCAGACTGCAGAAGCCCATAATCTGATAAGCTATCCATTGTTTACTGGGAGCAGTTTGTCGCAGGGAGCACTCGACCGCGAACAGTTTAGCCAGCCTAACTGAACTGTTCGTCTGTGCCACGTGGACCGTCGGTGGGGCTTAGCGTTTACAAAGTGTCGAACGCTTTCAAAACCATTTGTATTTTGACCTCACGCCTAAGGCATTAGGGCGGGAACCAGTGCATGAACCGACAGATGCGACTACTCCATTCATGTGCACTACACTTTCTGGTTCAAAATGGCCTCACTTTTCAGTACTCAGTAAGCCACTTCAAAGATGAAGAAATACATTTGTGACTTGAATCGAGACTGCAGGTCTTGTTATTTGTCTATGATGGTGCTCCAGGGTCTTGTGATGGTTTTATGAGATCTCAGCCACTGAACTGATTCTTTGACACAAAAGAGTTCATCAGAATTTCATTTTATTCATTGGCTACCTCTTTACACTTTCAGCAAATGTACTTGGCGTATGTGAGGAACACCAAGTTCACGTCGCCTTCCACACTGCCTCTCATCAACTTCATGCAGCGTTCCCTGACTGAAATGTTTGCTGTCAACACGCAGTTGGCATACCAGCACGGTTTCGTGTACATCCGACAGCTAGCCATCCACCTGCGCAATGCCATCACAGTCAAAAAGAAGGTAGTGGAGGGATTCATGAACATCTGTGGCCAGGCATTGTACCCTTGTACCCTACCAGACTACCATGCGATGACAGATTTGATCAGAACTTATTTAATGCACAAGGAAGGTTTTGCCAATTCCAAGAAATTATTTCTTATGGTCAATTATCCTTCACACCGTTGCCAATGAATGCGCATGTTCTGTGTAAACGATCAGTGAAAAATATTCCATGATATCTTGCATACAAAACATTGACAGTTTACATCTGCATTTTGTAACATTATTGGTCAGATCATGTGGAAAGTATCAAGTGATCCCCCCCAGAAAAATTGTGTTTTGAACTTGTGATGATATCAGAAGAGATTATAATGGAGTTAGTCCTTCCCAAGACACATATTCAAAGCTCTTTTAGGGCTCTTTAAATATTAACCTTTGATTCATTTCAAAACATCATGTCATTTTTCTGTAGAGTTCAGGGAGCAATGGCTTCTTAAGTTCTGGGATGATTTCCTCCAGTCCAGAGCCACAGATATCTGTATGTTTCAAGTGGATCTCATTTCTTGAATTCTTTGAACTGTTTTAGGACACCTACCAGTCTGTCTACAATTGGCAGTACATCCACTGTTTGAATCTCTGGTGTCGTGTCCTGGCAACGCTACACGCCGATGAAACGCTCCACCCCCTGATCTACCCGCTGGTTCAGACTGCCATCGGAGTCGTAAAGTAAGTTATAGAGATGTCCTTGGAGAGCTCTTCAGTGCCATGCTGTCTTTGCAAGGTCATGAAGTCATTTTCATCAAATTTGCCGTCTTGTTTTTATGCCATGTTTGCAGTGCACAGGAAAGCCATTAGAGTGTAAGTTATTCCTGCTCATTTTTAATTGCCCCTATATTCTCACTGAACTGTTTTTTTTCCCAATCTTAGATTGATCCCCGCTGCACGGTATTATCCTCTACGCTTCCAGGTTGTCCGATCCCTCAACCTTCTCTCTGAAGCAACGGGTACATTCATACCTCTCCTGCCCTTCCTTCTGGAGGTAAAAAAAAAATCCCTTTTGTAGTGCCAGTTTGTAGTTCACATTGAAATTTTTCTTGCAACTTGGGTAGAATCAGTCTAAGAAATGGCCACTTCTATTTCCACATGCCCTACCAAAGCAATTTTTCATTATTTGGAATATGTTGTACCTGAGGGATAGTCCTTTCTAGTTTCAGTTTCAACTCGACAACTCCTAGGAATAATTGCAGTTGTTACTATTCCCAGATCTTTGAGTTCACTGACTTCAATAAGAAGCACTCCAGCATCTCCTTCCGACCTTTGAACTTTGCTGTCATGCTCAAGGTGTCTAAATCTCAACTCAACGAAAGAGCATTTAAGGTATCAAATTTGTTTATTTATATTAAAAATATCCTATCCTTTCTGTATAATAAATAAGCCTTTTAGGAGTTAAATTTGAATACAATCTGGTGCACTGAGTTCTTTAAATCTACATGAACATGCCAATTTGAATTCTCCATTTTAAAGACACTGTTGCTATAGATAGTGATTCAGGGCAAACTTTGCATGGTGACCACCACCTCTTGAATGGACTGGTTCCTTTGTTCCCTTCCTATCCATTGAAAACAGTGTATTGGTGCAGTGTATCTCAGCGTACCCAATTTTATTCAAATGTAACGTGCTAAAGGCTTTTGCTCTTTCATCTTTTCCGGTTCTATTGCAAAGCTGACAGCTAAAATCTTTAAAAAGATTTGTTGGAATTGGCCACACTGCCTTCAGTGTTGGCCCTAGAAATAGATTAGGGGCTAGGAGAAGAGAATCAGCTTTTTATACCACTGTGCATCGGAAGACAATCCAGCTATCTGTACACATGGGCTACGATTACTAGGTTAACCACTTCATGCCGGGGCATTTTCAATGTTGATGATGCTAGGCCGGCATGACTATCATTTTTTCGTTTTCAAAATCTTTCAAAAATTCATCATTTCATTTAACGGTCGTTTATAGTTATAGTCTAAGTTGACAGGTGACCTTCATTGACGCCCGAGTATTTCAGCAAGGCCAGCAGCCTTGTAAACAGAGCCCAGATTGTGTGGTGTTGTATAACTGTCTTTTGTTCACGAACCTGGCTTAGTGCACTGCTGACCTCTTTTCAATAGGGTCCCGATTAGCATGCAGCGGTGCTGTGTGGCTCATCGCTGCAGTTGTGGAGCGCTTTTGTCCCCGGTAGTAATCCGCTCGCTCTCAATGCCCCAAACCCGGTATACAGTTTAAAAACAAGGCTGGATTATCACCACTTTTGAGAGTGAAAAATGTCGGTAATGCCCAGCAGCCTGGTCTTTTGTTCGGAGTACGGTCTTTTGTTACAAGTTCGGAGACCCCGGCCACCCATATAAACCATACATATCCGAGTCCAGAGTCCCCGGCAGGAAGTGGTTAAGACATCAAGCACACCTTGACTCAATCCTGGCTGATGTTCAGACAAGCTAATCCCCCATTTTTCAGTTCACATACACAAAGCCGAAGGAGTCTGTTTTGAACTTTGATTCAGCCGCTGTACATGAAAAAATATGAGGTTGGGTTAAGACTCTTGGAAAGTTGCTCAAGGTCATACATGTAACATGACTCATGTAACATATGACATGAAGTGAAAGTCAAGGGTTTTCAATCATGGATTGCATGATTGTTTCATTGTGTTTTATTTAAGCCACATGAAAATATACCATTATTTTGTGCACTAACATGAGCCCATTTTAAGAATTCAAGGTTCCTTGCTTGCTATTCTCTGTTTTGTTTTGTTTGTATAAAACTTGACAACAAGGGAAGTTAGAGTCAAGAGTGCGGATAAAACAAGTCGCTGTTTTGTTTTATGTCTCAAGGATGGCTTGATAGACCAGTTGTATGAGCTGCTGCTTGAACATCTGCAAGTGCATAGCCACGCGATTGGATTCCCCGAGCTGGCTTTGCCAGTCATAATGCAGGTAGTGTGATCACACCCTTTGCAGTTATTCTTATTTGTACTTATCTTTAATAGGAGTACCCAGCCACTTTTCACTCAACAGTGGCTGGGTTCTACTTCTGTCAATCCAGTAGAATCCTACAAAACTGCCTCATGGAATTCGAAAGAGCCAGGAAGATTTGGGGTTGATCACTAAAAACTGTCTATTCACACCAGTTTAATAATAATAATAGTAACAGAACATTTAAAAGCCGCGTAGTATCTAAAAACAACCCTCATTTTAAGGGTACCGGTATGTTGTCACTTTCCGAGCACATTGGATCACAAAATCTGAACATTTCTTAGACCATCTTAGCTCCCTGGGGAGTTTACTATCCAAAAGCTGCAGTTTCAGGTGCAAAATGGTAAACATAAAAACCGCTTCTGCCCTGAAAGATACCCATGTACTCCTGAACAGAGAGAGGCAGATGGGCCCAAGAGAGGACTTGGCCAAGGTCCCAACATGAAGCTAACTGGGGATTCGAACCCGCCACCCTCCGATCCTTTGATCGGAAGCTAAAAACCCAAACCACCGGGCCCATATGTCTCTTATGTTTTAATAGTTACATGTTCCATAGTCCTGATACTCATGAGAAACTAAATATAGGGTTGTAATGTCTTTTTTTTTTCTCTCACTTCAACTGGCATCATAGTCAAGATTGCAAACTTTAAATTCCATATGCTATAGATTATTTAGCCCTCTGGTGTGGAGATCAATGACTAAGCCACTGACGAATATCTCATGCCAAATACAAAATATCTTGAAAGCAAGTTATCCTTTCATCACCGTGGAATGTGTACATCAACTTCCTGAACCTAAAAAGAATGGGTGCCTGTCTGCTTTTTTTATACATGTGTTTGCGGAGGCAAGCTATTTCGTTTTCTGATGCCGATGTCATGATGTCGAATCTTAACAATAAGGATACTGAATTTTTTTTTTATGAGATATGATTTACCAACAACAAAGTATTCATCTTCATTTTGTCCTCTCCTCGTAGCCTGAGGACAAAGCACATGGACCAGCTCAATAGTGCGGACCCCAGTCCCTCACATCTTGTGCCACAAAGCATGTCTAAACGTAGTCTCGGTCAAGATGTTGTTGTGTTGTTGATAAGCGAGAGGGCACTCACCAGACAAATACCTGGAATGCACAAACCACAACTAGCCACACCAGCAACATCTTGGGAAGTTGGTCAAATCTGCACTCGAAATTGGGGGAAAACTCACTCTGCATTTTCTGTTCACACACGCGCATTCCCGTTGAACAGCCACAATGAAGTTTTACAATAGTCCGGTACGATCCTCAAGTTGCACTGGTTTAAAGTTGTGTTCGATTGCTAGTGAATAGTAAATGTACATGTACTTGCTGCTGCTGGCCAGCCATTCAACGGTCCAATGCGAATGAAGATTCACATTTATCATGGCAGCTGAGTTTCCGGACCCGGACTCTGCCCAACAGCATGGACCACGAAAGTGTATGATTTGTAATAAGGGGTGAATTGTACTTGTAAATGTACACTGACATACAATCAGGAGTCAGGGAATAGACAGATCATGCGTGATGCATTTTTTCCAAAGTGATTCAGTTAGACAATTTAGCGTGTATCATGTATGATACTAATTATGTGCACTCGCACAATACAGATTTGATCAACTTCCCAAGACGTTATGGTTGTGGTTCATGCATTCCAGCTATTCGTCTTGTGAGAGCCCTCTCACGTATCAACACTATGTCTTGACCAAGACTAGTCTAAACACAGTCTTTATTCTCTGCCTTACCTCAGCTTAAAGCCTTCCTGAAGAAGTGCAAAGTGGCCAACTACTGCAAGGTGATAAAGGGCCTTCTGGAGAAGGTCCAGGAGACCTGCCAGGAGATTAATCGACAGAGAGACTCTGTGACCTTTGGCGTGTCAGACGATGCCGCAGTGGTAAGAAAACATACGAACCTCGGAAAGATCTGCATCACAAACCGGGCATTTTAGCACATGTCAGCCATGCCTGAAAGTTATAGCCCAGGTGAGAAATGATGAGTGCATCTGTGGAATCACTTGTCTTGTGGCTGCAGCTGTGATACATACCCCAGGCCGTAATGACTTGATTGGAACATTGGCATAAATACATGCTTGTGAAGGGGCTGCCAGCACAAAGCCTCTGAAGTGTTATTGGTTGCACTGAACTGTATAGATCCTAGCTGCTTAGAAGTCTCATTGTCCAAGGTCTTGAGTGACAGTTGTATGCATAATGCAGGCCCTGTGACTGTAAATGTTGAGATGAAGCTGACCCTGCAGTGCAGGGACATTTGCAACCTGACTGCTTTTGACTGAATGTTGGAGAATTTGAGAGTTTAAATCCAGTTAAAGTTGTCCGTGAATGACCTGTGTATAATGCCCTGTACGTATTAAATTCCAATAATACCCACAAATGTTTGTTCCTTTTCTGCTTTTGCAGACTCGAGACTCTGTTGCTATACTATTTGATTATATGCAGGCTTTTTACATACATGTAGTAAGGAAAAGGGCCATTTTCCAATACTCAACTTTGCCTTCGTCTCAGGCTTCACGTAGGAAACTAATCCTCGATTGTAGGCCTGAAGCATTTTTAATTTAAATTGAAATACTGTATTGTTTGGCTCCTTTGCATCTTACTTGATGTTTTGTGGCACTATCAGTCTTCCTATTGCACTTTTAACCTCAAAGTCAGGAAGTAAAAAACCAGTTGAAGCCTGAGACGGAGCCCAAGTTGAATATTGGAAATCGTCTTGATCAGTGTTCATGTAGTTATCAAAGTCTACAAGAATGTATTGTGTAAGAACCCCGGATACCAGACTTTATTCAGGACCACATCAAAAACATTTAGCCCTGGTTAGCAAACTTCCTGGATAGGTGTGTGCTTTGACAAGTGTTACTCGAAACAGTTGCTATGCCACTTTGCTCATAAATTGGCTTATCGAGTCGTGCACCCGGCTCTTCTCACGGCAGAAAGCATGGGAGAACAAGGTGAAGATGCAGGGCACCACATTGAGCAAGCACTACGCCACCTACAAGAACTTGCGTGAGAAGGAGCTGAGACGGGAGGAGGCAGGAAAGGAGACCGTAAGAGAATCTTGCAGATACTTGAAGTTTTAGCTACCTGTGAAAGTTACAAGCAGTGGATCATGCTCGTTGTGAGACCCAGGCCATGTCTGTACATTTAACAATTGAAAAGCTTGACTTGTAGAGGCACTTCTTATGATATTATCTGTGAAGTTCCATTCAATCAAACGCATTGTGTTTGTTGTTATGGTCATTTGAAGTGCATGATCTCTTGCCTGTTTGTCTGTGTATGTGTAGCATGCAAGTGGGAAAAATAAATATTTTTACTGACTTGTCTTTGAAATATGGGAATTACGCAAGAATAATGTATTCGATTTTCACAAAATTAGTGTTCATTACCCCACGACATTACTGGAAATACAACTGAAGGCATGTCACAGGAAAAAATGCATTACGATGATATTGCAAAAGCTCTTGGGGTTAGAAAGATTGATGTATTGTATAGTTTTGATTATTTCAATGAGCTTAGATTGCACATCATATTTGCCTTATCAAGGTCAATGGACAGTGGGAAAAAGATGGTCATTAACCAGAAGACCATGTCTTGGCCTTAGCCTTAATTATCTTCTCCTTGTTTCTAGATGACTGATGACATTCCTACATTGCACAAGAGGCAACTGCAGAGGAAGGAGGAAGACAAACGACAATTTGGGGAGCTGTTTGAGGCAGACAGTGACTCCGAGGATGACATCCTGGTGCGGGCTGAGCGAAAGCAGGAGCGCTATACCCCAAGCAAGAGAGGTCAGAAGAGGAAGAACGACAACTTGAATGATGACGGTAGTGATAATTTTGATGATGATGAAGGGGATGATTCTGATGAGGATGATGATGGCACCGACGAAGCAGAAAGTGGTGAGGATGCGACGGAGGCTTGGGCTGCAGGAGAAGGGGTCAGGGCAAAGGTCAATCCCATGTCAAAGGTCAAAGGCAAAGTGAAAGTGCTGGAAGAGGGAGAGGATAAGGAGGACATTGTCAGGGATTTTGATTTCTGGTGTGATGAAGAAAGCGAGGGTGTGGATTCGAAGAAGAAAAAGAAGAATGTTGGTGGACTGAAGAAAAAGAGTGGGAAGAAACTGACTGGCAGACAAAAGAGTATTAAAGAAGGAAACTTTAAAAAGACCGGGTTTACGTCCAATAAGGGCAAGAAAGTCAGGGTTGAGAAAAAAGTAAAACCAAGACCGAAGTCTTAGATACTAAACAATTATGGATAAATAACTCTCGTACGTACAAATGTAGTGAAAATAGCATATTAATTGGTATTTGCAGTGTTTATTATACGAATGGACAAAGAATTGGATTGGTGTAGAATTGGAACCTGTGACCCGTAGAGAATACTGCCAGTGGTCATCGGTTTGGGTCCAACTCCAGTCGCGCTCAGTGCTTAGATATCTTTTTAATATTGTATTTTGAGACTATGACTTTCCTGAAAACATAGTGTATAGAATTCCAGAGTGTTTTTTGATCAATTTCTCGCGTCGGCCTACAAAACCACAGACCAAATTGGCCTTTGTTCAAACCAAGCAGAATTATTCAATCTACTTCCTGTGGAGCTGTTGGTTAAGTGTCAATTACCATGATGATGAGTCATTTGCTGCATGTGTAATAAATTTGTAATAAAATGTTACATTTTAAATCACAACCTGTGCCCAAATACAAGATACAGTGTACATGTATATTTATTTCGTTTAGACGGTGTTTTTTGAGCAACATTACTTCACTTATATATATTTGTTACTGTACGTGTACTTTACAAGCTATTGCTTATTTTGTCGGCAAGGCTGTTTGTGATTTATGTCCAAATCACGTCTTTACCTTTTTCTTTTCGTCGTAAATCAACACCTTGCTTTAAAATCTAGTGATCTGACAATTTACATGTTGACCGTCCATGCGAAGTTCTGTACTTTATGGGGGTAGCACTGGGAGCGGTAGTTGAAATTATGCCCACCTGAATGTGAGCCATACATGTTCCAAGGCAGTTTTCTTATGACGCCAAGCTTGAAAGAAGTCTATACCACTGGAATAAAATATGAGCGCCTGTGCACAAAACGAAGGATGTGACGTGATCCACTGACTGATATCAGTCGCATTGTAAGCAGTCATTGTTGTGACTATTGTATCACTGATATGAACCCGTTTCCTCGCGGCAATTCGCATTGTAGCCATAAGTGACTCATGTAAAGCCCCTCTTGTAGTCATACCGGTATTTCACAAATGATATTTCATTGATACATACAGTTTTGGTCTCCCCGCATGCAATTTTCCATTTCGATATTTTGGCAACGCGGTTTGGGTGCATGTCCAATATGCCATGCTATACCTCAACACCATCAAATATTAGACGAAGAAATGGCATATCTTACTGAAATACGGCACGAGTCGTCACTTATTTCTACATTCGCTAGGTTTTAGTGCATTCGGACAATTTGGTTTTCAGTTAGTAGATAGCTGTATTGTAAACGTGCTTTGTTTTCCTCTGGAGCTAGTGTAGAAAATGCGCGTTAACGGCCCATATGTAATCTCACAAAGTGAAAGTACACGGCCAAAATTCAGTAGTGTCTAAACATTTTTTGTTTATCTTCCTCACTTTTTATTTTTTTTCCCCTACAGCTCCCTCTGTGCGTATCGTAACAACTTACAACGATCAAGTATCTGTCTTGCAACCAACAAATCCCTGAGTGACGGAACACAGACTTTCGTTTCTTTACTACGCCAAATTTTATATTCGGTGTTTTCTCAAGTAGACGCTATCATACTAACCACGCTGCATCTGTGAGATAAAGAGTCGTGTCTATACACCACTCATTTGCCAACAATTTGTATGGGGCGGCTAAACGTTACAGAAATAATACCTTTTCCTTGCTTCATTCAAAATCCACATTTGTCCAATAGATTTCAAATGGGGTTGTAGTTTTTACATGTGTATGTACGCGTTTTATTAGCTAGTTTTCTGATAGATGCATTGGGATTAATAATATATATATATTTTTTTTTAACTTTTGTACTGCCGGCCACTTGTAGGGAAACATGACTGTGACGTCAAAAGAGCAGACCCTATTGTGTTGAAGGATCGTACAATATGTTTATGTAATTTGAGCGCTGAACTGTGACCTTTCCCCGTGCTTAGCTGAATTGATAATTGATGCATTATTGACAGTTTTCATACGGTTGACGGTCATACGTCGTGACTCTGTAAACACAGGTACAGCTGGATGAACAGTTTGTTAATTAGAAGCAATTTGCAACAATTTATTATTTATCTTTTTTTTCCCATTGAGCCGAAAGATGGGGTACACGTATGATGTGTTGTTGATCGAGTTTATCGATTCTTGGCACGAAATGTTTGTTAAGTAAGCTAGACTATCAGCTTAATTGCTTTCCAGATTTCCTGGTCAATACATGAAAAATAAACGGTTCCACGCAGACAAAGGGATTAAGGGTAAGGAATCGAAAGACTTTAGTTGGCCATATGTTCCTTTAAAAATAATCGAAATCATACTATGTTTACGCAGTTGTTGAGAGCAAAAAAAAGCAGTCACCTTTAAGGGGGAAAATGAAATACCGCAGCTGGAAAAAATGTTACAGTTGCGTGACCTTCACAGCGTGAGCGAAAGCAAAACCCAACTGTTTCTATCCTCGTGGTCACACCGAGGTTAACCAGGGGTCAGTAAGTTCATTGAAGGGGGGGTATATAAGCACACGCAATGTCACTGAGAGTGAAACCGGTCGCGAATGAGCGAAGTCCTTTTGCACGCCCAACTTAGTTCGGGAAGTTGCAATCGAACACCGATACTTCCAGTGGTATCATGGGTCTAGGACGGCTTCTGATCCCGGGGGCCCTGGCTGTGGTCTGCGTTGTTCTACACGGTGTCTGTCCGGTCCGCTCGCAAGGTAAAATGAATTAAGGTACATTTATTTATGCAGTCATGCTATTTATCGTGCATTTTCTTGTCTTGTATAGACACGCATGAGTAGCACCGTTGACCAAAAACAATTCAGGCGTCGTCTCTGGTTCATCGCTGTATACCGTCAATTACACCCATTACACCAGTGTCCAGCGTAAATTAGCATTTTTTTAATCAAGACTACATTTTGAATCGCTTCTGTTGCACTGTGCTAAAGCGATTCAGGCAGAATCAAAAGGTTTTGTTTCTGAGTCAGCGCTTTGCGACGGTTCTGCTATGTTACGTAGCCAACTCGGCCTATGCTTATTATAAGATGCACATGTAAAACTCATCTTCCCTGCCTCACTTTGTTCTCATGCCAACCTGGGACCCGACGGAAGGAACATATGGTCGTGAACCAATATCGTGACAGAACTGAAAAATGAAGATCGAAAAATCAAATGTTCCTACCGTACTTCCAGTCACGAACTGGCTGTATATTGTATAAAGCAAACTGGTAAGAAAACGGGCCTGTACACGTACCTCCACGATACCACTATAGGCCTATACCCGTATGTAAGACTTGCAAGGACGGTACACAATGTCACAAGAAAGGCAAAGGCCTTGCGCGTCTGGCAGAACGAAAAATCGGTTTGCAATTAAGATGATTTCTGTCAAAATTCCGATATACCACAAGCGCATTCCTTGATTTTTGTGAGCACGTATACTGGTAACATGCAGGAGCACAGATTGTTACAGAAGCATTAGTTCCCACTTTCTACTTCACTGTTTTCCTCAGGGCCTGAAGGGGGCTTTTGCCTTACAACTTCCTGCCTACAGTGTATTTAGATCAGGCCTATAGTTATTTTAATTGTGGCCTCTGTGAACACCCCTGCCAAAATCGATTCGAGTTAATCACGATGTCTGATGAATGCAATCGATAGTGTCGTTGACTCTGCACAGGTGTGGTCGGTGCTCTCGTGTGTATATAGTCTTTCTGTACACTGCTATCGACTAACTGCCCTTAGGCCTATGACATGTCGCACGTCACCCCAACTTTCTATTGGGGTACACTTTAAATACATTCAAATATCTGAAACGTCCACAGTTGACTCGATTTTCGTTCAATTCAGTCAAATTTACTCCTCAAGCAGGAAACAAAGTGTATGGACCCAATGCAAATTAATGATGGAAGAAAATTTCACTTGAACCCATCAACCTGCATTGTAAGCATTACACGCTACGACATTCGTTCCCGCGTTCATGGAACTTTTGTCTGTGGCCTTCATGAAGCCACGGCATTTCCTACCACAACAACCTTTAAAGTGAGCCTGTGATAGAAATACGTGTCTAAAATCCTTGAACTTGCAGATCTTGAACTTGAGTCCTTTGTGTTTCGATTTTTGTTTGTGCCATTTTTATCTACATTTTGTGGCTTCATTATTTATTCATTTTTTACTTGTTTATTTTTTTTTTTTTTTTTGCTATTGTGAATTCATATGTTCGTGAGAAAAACTGTTGTAATCCGAGGCACTGAACCTCAGTGTTGCATTTATTTCTACACAGCAGATGTTAGATTTTTGTTTGGTTGGTTGGTTGGGGTGTTTGTTTGTTCGTTTGTTTGTTTGTTTAACTTTGCTATCGGAGATTTTCATTTCCCTTTGCAATTTATTGCTCTTTTTTTAAATGACAAATTTCAAACAACAGATTTTGGGTTAAAAATTTGAACATGGAAATGTGCAAACTGAAAAGTGCCTTCTGGGATTAACAGTACTCTATATAACAGCGCCCTCTCTTCTCTTGAAAAACTTGATCAATTTTGAATGTTTAAAAACGTGCACTTAACCATCCACTCAACTAATATTTCGAACAGTTTCCGCACATTTAAGGGGAGTTAAACGTGCACAAAAGAAGCAATCCTATTATAAATCCATTGCGCAGTTCCTTTAACTCCCGAAGGCCTGCTCGTCTCGTGATCGGTAATTCACTCACCGTCTGCGTACCAGACGACTTCAACCAAAGACTTTAAAAACATTATTGAAATTCAAGTAATTTGCCTCTCGGCCTCGTGGATAAGGAGAGATATGTAATAGCAGACACAACATTGATTATAATCACTTTTGTTTGAGTTTCTGGGCAAAGATCATAATTATCCAATGACATTCTTGCTCTGTACTGTCCCGGTGAACAGTCATGGCCTTTAATTGGTCCCAAGGGAGAGACGAAAGAGCTTCTTTACTGACGGTATATGTTTAGCATGAATTTGTGTGAATTATATCTGAGAGAGATTGCAGGCCTGTATGACTTAACAAGAGAAAGAAAAGAGATGAGACAGAGGACACAACTGGCCAAATCGGTTACATGTTGCATGCTTTCCTTCGCTTAGGCACTGCACTGTCAGAGCGTGCTATGTCCGATAAAGCATGGATAAAGTGTATATACTTCCCAACCAAAGCGATGTTTGTACACAAGCTCAAACGTGTTTGCGGAAACCTTCATGAAACGGTCTGAGATCAAAGAGTATGCATCAAACAAAACATCTCGAGACAAGAAACAATTAAGGGCTGCTGATTTGTGATTTTCGACTTTTGGAGTTTGTACGTTACAGGTTATTATTTGGTATATGACCATGACTGAATATGGAGTGTTTGATTTGGAACGGACAACTTTATAGATGAAATTAAATAAAACTTGTTTGATGAAAACAAACTACCAGCTGTCATTTTATTGCGCTTTCACCATAATTTTCTTCCGGCTAGGTCAGCAATTTTGGAACGACCAGGCGCAACTAACCTTGGAAAAAGCTCTTCACCGCCAGCGAACCCTCAATACTAACACGGCCAAAAACGTGGTATTCTTTGTGGGCGACGGCATGGGAATCTCCACCGTGACTGCAGCTCGGATCCTGAAGGGACAGAACATGGGATACCCTGGGGAAGAGACGGTGCTCGCCTGGGAGAAATTCTCGAGTCTCGCTCTGGCAAAGGTGCGTTATTTTTTGAAGTGCATCCCCCGGTCTTTCGATAGCCGATCCATGACCCCGCCTGCTTCAGTAAGCATGGGCAAAATCACACAGTGTTTTCACCTGCTGGACCATTCAAAACACCGGGGATTTAGTCGGATATTTGATTCCATTGCTCCAATTTTTATCAGACAATATATGTAACAGGGCTTGGTTTAATTGATCTTTCTAATAATACAATTTATTTATACACTATGTTATTATAATTTCCTGTATGACAATAAGTGAATGGAGGTGTTTCAGGTTTGACAAATTATGTTGTATCAGGACTAAAATGTTGAATAAACGACCCGATGAAGTTACAAATGGACAAATGTTTGACTAAAACATGTTGGAATTAACAACGTGGATTCGATCAGGGCCAACAGCGTGATTACTGACTCAACAAAGGCAAAGTTTGACTCAGACAGCCAAGGATAAACAGCTCGTGACCGGTTCACCTCATCAATCGTCCATTCCACTGGTAGCATCCCTTGTTTCCTCTTCTCCCATCTAATCATACTTGGCCGCCTTTAATACACGCAATGTTATGTGTACGCCATCCCAACAAGGCCAGGACTACAGCAACCCACTGACTGGTCGCTTTCAATGGGTCAGTCAACACATTAAACTGCGGGCATGTCTGTGTAATGATACAGCAAGTGGTGTATCATTTTTTTCCTAAAAATACTTCCCAGATGAGTAGGAAAAAAGGAATTGGTATTTCAAATATTAGCGCGAAAACCCTGAGAAAACAACATTACGAAATAAAACAGGGGTGCTGGAACCGTGTGAGGCTTTTTGACATTTTTACCCCCCCCCCAACATCATGTTGAATGAGCCCAAAGCTGCATTCGCTTCTGAATTTGCCCTACCCCCCCCGCACGCAAACGAAAAGGTGGATACACCACTGGATAAAGTCACATAATCCACTAACCACTCCATCTCCTAATTAATCCACACCCTTCATCTAACAGACGTATAGTGTCGACGGCCAGGTGTCAGACTCAGCCTCAACGGCGACTGCCTTCTTCTGCGGCGTCAAATCGAGAGACGACATTATTGGCCTGGACGACAGGTCAAAACTGGGCGACTGTGCTTCGACTTTGAACTCGTCGGTGGAGTCGTTCCTGACTTTGGCCCACAAAGCAGGTGACAAAATTTCCCTTTACTCTACTCCACAGTCACTGGAATTAAACATGAATTTCTTTTTGCCATGTGTAGACATACGGGGTCGACCGCCAAGTAGCCGATTCTGCCGCCACGGCAACGGCGTTCTTCTGCGGTGTGAAGACCAACGATGCCATGGTGGGCCTGGACGAGAACGCTCTGCTAGCTGACTGCTCGACGACTCGAAATGCGTCTGTAGAGTCATTCTTGACATTAGCTCACAGAGCAGGTGACCCAAGTTGTCACGTCATCGTCTTCTGTTCGTTTGTCTTTGTGTCACCATGCTGCTAACCACTTTAATCAAAACTGGTTTTTTTTCTGTTCTTGGTCATTCTGTCGCCATTGCTATCTCTGCAGTAGTGACTACAATCAGGACGAGCACCATTATCCTACAAGCGTGGTCGTGTTTTACAGTTTCGATGATATATTTCAGTAATATCACAACTGTCACTGAAAATAACAAACACGGTAACCATCATTGCAGTTTCCAAATAACCATCATCATCAGTAGAATCGTGGTCATCAAAATTCCATCACCGCACCATTTCGTCACTTCCAACCATCACCAACGTGTATCATCACCGTATCACCATCTTCCCCGTTTTGGCATCTCAAAATTGCTAACTTCAATTAACCCATCCACTACCAGCATCATGACATTCGACATCATTCAATGCAATCTCATCGTGTTGGTTGTTCTCGTTCTGATGTAAATTCCTCAAGCTTTTCTGTTCGTCCATATTGTCTGTAACACCGTATCATGATTTAGTAGACCTACGAGCTGCAACTCTGTTTAATACACTCAATGCATTCACGTCCTGGCACCGTGTTTTGCTCATTATGTAGCCAAAAAATAAATGAAAAGAACAAATAACTAGAGGCTCTGTGATCAAAACTGCCTTGGTTGCTGATTCGATCCAGGTAAGGCCACGGGTTTCGTGACCACGTCACGGGTGACCCACGCTACACCTGCTGCCCTCTATGCCCACTGTCCAGACCGTTACTGGGAGGACGACGAGGACGTTCCGCCTGAGGAGCGTGCGCTGGGCTGCACGGACATCGGATCGCAGCTGGCAGAGAACGGCAAAGACTTTGAGGTAACGCTTTACTTTAGATGGAACGTCAGAGGCATGCACTCTTATTTTATTCTAGAGCAGTTTGGAAACAACCTGCACAATCTCGTTCTTTCAATCACATTGTTCTCTTTGAGTTTAAGCATTTTGTTGGCTAATTGAGAAGATAATAACTTCAGCATTGTGTGGTTTACAGGTAATTCTCGGAGGTGGAAGACGCGAGCTTACCAGCAGGGACTTTATCGATCCGGAATATCCGGAAAAAGATGGACACCGAGAGGACGGCCGTAACATTATAAGTACGTACCGGAAAGTATTGGACTGTGGACTTAACGAATACCCGGCAGAGCGCACTTTGCCCTCCGAAAGCAAAAAAAAAAAAAATGGATAGGAGTATGTCCTTCTATATGTTAGCAGTTCTACGACTATAAAAATGAAAGGCTCATCAGTCATATCTAGGCTGGCTACCGTCCACTTTTACAATTTTGTGTCATTTTTTATAGATGAATGGCTTCTGAGCAAGCCGACGGATCGAAGCAAGTATGTCTGGAACCTTGATGACTTCAACAACGTCGACCCAAGTGAGACCGACCACCTCATTGGTTAGTTGAGCAATTGTTGAAAATTTCTTTAAAAAAAACAAACTAACAAAAACGCTTGTAAACATGGAAATAGATTTTTCTGTAATTTTTTTGGGGGGTTCTTGTCTTTTGCATCGAGCTCATTGTACCCATTGCAGAGAATTGTACTGTATTTATGCAACGATTTTACAACTTTATTTTCAGGACTGTTTGAGAGGAGCCACATGCACTACGAAATTGACCGCCTTGACGATGAAGCTGGAGAGCCCTCTCTTGCCGAGATGGTGGAGAAAGCCATTAAGATACTGCAGAAGGACCCGGATGGTTTTGTTCTCGCAGTAGAAGGTATGCCATCTGGTCGTCTATTCGAAGTACTGATTTTTGGGGCTAATTTTGGTACTGAATCCGGTTATCGGAGTATATAATCAAAAACGAAACTCCCTTTATGTAAAACCAATATACCTGCAAGAGCGTCTACAGCATTATAACGGCCACACTTTTAGCAGAAGCGTAGCAGTAGACATAGTGGTAACGTCAGTAGCAATATCGTTGCAGCTTTTAAGTCCATCATAAGTCCTCCAGCCTAAGTCAAGCCACAGGCCTTAATTAATGTACTCATGCAAACCTAGCTCGTTACATATAGTACAATCGTGCAAGTGTGACAAAGGTATATATATGTGTGACTTGTTAATATTTGTGCTCAGTATTGTGAGTGGCTGCCTCAGAAGCAAATGACATTAGTAATACACGTACATGTAAAAGGAAGAGCTGCAGTGGACATCCCCAATGTACCGCGCTCCTTGTGCAGGATATCCTTCCCTTCACATTGTGTCTCTAATCAGCATCAGTGCAAAGTTTCCCTGAACTTGGTTTGCTTTTATATTTACAACAGGTGCACGCATCGACCACGCCCACCACGGCGGGACAGCCCGGCTGGCCCTTCTGGAGACACTTGCTATGGAGGCGGCTGTTGCTAAGGCTATGGAACTGACCAATGAGGAGGACACTCTCGTCATCGTGACGGCCGACCACAGTCACACCTTGACGATTGGATCTTATCCTCGCCGCGGCAATCCCATTTTGGGTAAATAAATCTCCGATCACTTTGAAATCTGTAATCACTTTGAGAACCGGCATGTGTTACAATAATACACGGTGTCAAATATGAATTGCCAGTTATCAAAAGACGGTATATTCGAGGAACCTTTCTGTTTTGTGAAACTTGATGTTTAACCAACAGTTAGCTCGAGCTTCTTGCTCCCAGTTTTGTAATTACCAGTTAATCCCTGTCGCTGTTGGCATAAATAGATGGACATTTATTCACCGAGCTTCTCAATATTTTGTAAAAAGTGACTCCAGATGAAGCTCATTTTTCTAAACATACACTCTCAGGACTTTACGGGAATGAAGCTGAAGACGGTCTACCGACGACAACCCTCTTGTACGCCGACGGGCCTGGCGGCTTGCTGGAAATGGAGAGTTACAACCGCACAGGCGCTCGGCGGAATCTTAACCACGAGGACACCGGTGCGTTGAATCCCCTTCAAACTTCGAATCGGTATCATGGGCTTTGCTAGACTTGTGCAATTAACTCGTCGGTGGTGAGCGCAGTGAAAACAGCATGATTTTCTTTGCTATGTAGCGATGTTTGAAAGGATGAGTGAGATAGTAGAACGACTGAACCGGTCCATTGTATATTATATTTCCATCGTTCTCCTTGTAGTCTACAATGCTGCAGAGCGACTGCGAATATCACTTTCAGTGTTGATAGAACATTACATGGCGTGTCATGATTCCTGGATGTCAATCGCTGGAAGTGTCCATACACAGGCAAGCTTTATCATAGATCGACTGATTGCAAAATGCAGACCATGTGAGATTGCCCCAAAAATCACGTTGAAGGGAACTCCATGCATGGTTTCGCACAACGGCAACCTTTGCTTAGCGTTTCAACAGACTGATGCAAAGTTGACCATTTACTGTCGCGTTTTATCACAAAATGTAGATTTTCCATTTTCAGAGCATCTGGACTTTGCCCAACCGGCCATCATTCCTATGGACGACGAGTCCCATGCGGGAGAGGACGTGGCCATCTACGCCAACGGACCGATGTCGCATCTCTTCCACAGCACTCACGAGCAGCACTACATAGCGCACGTCGTCAAGTACGCCGCTTGTCTCAACAGCCAGGGGCATTGTAAAACAAGTAACGCACCCCCTTGCAAGAAACTCAGCCCAGCTTACCTGGCATTAAGCAGTGTCTTGGTAGTAGCCTTTTTTAGTATTTAAAGCTAAGACACTTTAATATAGACAGTACTCAATGGCTCTTTCATAGAGTTTACAACCGTAGCGAAGTTTAGGTACAAATAATCTTTATGCAATAGTTAATTTACAAAAGGAAGGTGTGCCATTTCTGTTTTATGTTTACCTGTATAAACGGGCTTTAGTTTTAGGAAGTTCGTTTCCCTTTTGCATACCAACATCCAGGCAGGATAACTTGCATTATGTTGGCACGTGAGGGAGAAAGATATATCGGCAAAAATAAATGTTCTGTTTTACTAATTAAATTTTGCGTGTACCATTATAATCTGATTCATTGAAACTGCCCTTTTCATTTGCAGTTGTCCTCACGGAAGATGGTTAAAAATCTTTTGAATTTATAGTTGATTTTCACGCTTTAAAACTGTCCACCCCTTGGGCAAATGTTGCATAAAAAGAAAGGATTTATACACTGTATTTGCGATTGTGGTCTCGTCCCATCTCAACCAGCTTGTGTAACTAAGCTTCTTGATGTGAAAGTAATAGTTCATTCTCTTCATGAATCCATGAACCTACTTCGCCATACTTTGAACTTTGTTGCTATTAGAAATTAATAATTGATTACTTGGTCTATTAGCATTGACACTTTGATCACAATCACATATCTCTATTTTTTAGGAGTAATTGATAGCAGTCAGCAGGGCTCCTTCTTTTGGTATGATGATTTTCCTAATCCTGGCAATGATTGACTAAGAGCGGAACTCTGTTTCTGAAGTTGGCATTTGTTACTATATTTTTGATAAGAAATAAGCTTTATTCCTGAAAGAAAAGGAGAAGACACATGTCCCTGGCTGTCTCGAGTTTTCTGGGGTTTTTCCCGCCAATTCGGCGATACACTGCATTAAAGGCTCCATGTATTGTGTTCAGTGGTAATAAAAACTTATCCCAGCTACGGAACTGCATATTGGAGATGCGCGTTTGTCAACAGGTCGGTAGCTTTATACTATCTAGACGATATCGTGATAAATAAAACCGCGTGACCACGTGGTCTCAAGTGGCGAAGCGAGCCAGCAAAAGGATACAAGTAAAACACGGCCTTCCCTGAATCGTGTAATTGAACTTGCAAGAGCAAACTGGATTTTCTTATGCACAAAAGCTTCAGTCAAGTTATGTATTTTAACTGAATCATTCATGGTCTTTACTTGTGTCCTCAGTAGTGGCGATATTAAAGGAAAGGATTTAATGTAATAAGTGATGATTTAATGGATTTTTTCTAGCAACGATTCATCAGCGATAACACAAGGTTTCACTGATCAGTGCAAACTATTCTCACACTTTCACGCAAGCACAAAGAACCCAGCCCTTGAAATATACTCGGACCTCCTTGCATCTAGCTTTGATCACTCAGTTTATTCACATCATAGGTCACTGGGCTATTATACAAAGCCAGGCAATCATCATGCAATTTTAACTACATGTACTTGAAGCTATCTAGTAATATCAGATTTTACCAAGCAATAAATATGCAAGTGAAAGTACTTTAGCTTAACCCTTTTAAGAAAGCAGCTATAACAGTAACGTTGTTTTAAACAGGACCAACTATGAAAACCATTATTTTAATTTATTATATTCCTACAAGTTGCTCAATGTCGGGGTCTGGTGGCCAGAGCCCATGCCCCTAAATCTCCCAATTTACATTGGGAGCTATTTTTACGACCACCTGCCACCTTATTCGTCATTAGTATCAACTTTGATTTATTACTGCTGCCATTGACAGCAAGCAATAATGAATGTGCGTCACTAAACTAAAGCCATATGAAACTACGTGTCTATGCAAGACCATAAATACAACGGATGTCAAACCGTTCCAAGTCGTTAATAGCCACTTTGTACATACGTATGTGGCTCAAGCATCGATATTAAATAGAATACCAAAATGAAGAAAAGACAGATGAAATCGACTATTGCTTTATACTTAAAAGCAATAAACATCTGCCATATATGCCGCCACTCGCTACATTGGAATTATGTTACTAGGAAAGTAAATAACATTTTGCTTTGAAACTCTGCTAATTTGTTCTTTGTCAAAAGAAATAAAATGGTAGGAAAATCTCCAGATCGAAAATGTATCGATTTTTATGGTTTTTGTAATTTCGTGAAAACACTGACGAAATATGAAAAAAAGTTCACTTAAAATCTATATCCAAACATGCATGCCGAGGATAACAGCGGTAAAAAGGAAGTGCACGTTATATCCACCAACAGAAGGAGCACTGCTTGTCTCGCAGTGCTCTTTGATATCCAGGCAGGCAGCGTAGCGCACCACGTGAGAGATGTAATTCTGCTCGTGGACACTGTGGAAGAGGTGCGACATGGGCCCGTTGGCGTAGATCGCCACGTCCTCCCCACCGTGACTCTCGTCTTCCCTTGGGACGATGGCTGATTGTTTGAAGTCCTTATGACCTGAAAAGTCACAAATTATGTCGAAGAGGTTATTCCCTTTCTTTTGTACCGAAACTAACAGTGCAAGAAAAAGAAATCGTACAAGCCTAACAAGTCAGTAACAAGCCTCCGACAGATTGTTGCTTAAATGTCTCATTCCTATGATCCTTCACCTCCTTCACTAGGAGATGACCAAGACGTCCATCAGAGAGTTCCTAACAGCAGGTATTCGCCACAAGTGCAGCCACAGCCAAGAAAAGTTTTCCCTAAAAAGGATACCTGTGTCAACATCTGTGAGATTTCGTCTCCTCCCCTCTGAATTGTAGCTTTCTTTCTCCAACTGCCCTCCTGGACCGTCGGCGTAGTTCAGGGTTGTGTAGGGCATGCCATCCGAGCCTATCCCATCATTGTATAATCCTGCAGTCAAGGGCAAGTTCGGTCAAGGACCACAGTTATAAGATGGACTAACTCTGATCAAACGCACGCTAGTCGACGATGGTTGGACTAGTCTTGCCAACGTCTCTTTGCGACCAGCCTATAGAGATTGGTCGCATGGTTGGTTGCCATTATTCGTTTTTAATAGCACAGTGGGGACCAGTTTAATACAAGAAAAGTGTTGTAAAAACCATAGTAAAGGACTATTTTCACTTTGATTTTGCCCTTCGGCCACCTTTTTTCCCCTTCGGCCTAATGACCTGACAACGGCTTACTATGGTCGTTCACACTTCAGCCTCAGTGCACATGCGCTAGGTACGTCACGAATCAACCACTACAGTTGACTAGTGGCCCTTGATCGAATTTGCCCAAAAATGTCAAGGTGTCAAATTTCGTTCATATTTGTTTCTGTTGGGCATATCTTTCTCTTAATGGTATGAGCAAAAGTTTACAATTAATGGAGCAATGGACATCAGCACCAACACGCCACGAGCAGTGGTTACAGCCAGTCCAACGATGTAAATACCACCAGGCTTAAGCAGGCGCTTCCACAATAGCAGCGGACTTGGGGAGCATCAGCGACGTCAACCCTCATTTATTCATCACCGGCAGCAATGCTGTATAGCTTTAACGACATTAGTGCATTAGAACCAGAGACGCTCTCGCACAAGACAGGATCACTTGCAATAGCGGCCGAAATAGCTTCCATTCCAACCTAGAATCGGGTTGCCACGGGTCGGGTAGGCACCAATGGTCATGGTGTGGCTGTGATCAGCAGTCACGATGACCAAGGTATCCTCTTCGTTGGTCAGCTCCATTGCCTTGATCACAGCTTGCTCCAACGCCAGGGTGTCCGTTAAGGCTCGTGCTGCCATCCCAGCATGATGGGCGTGGTCGATACGGGCACCTGAGGACGTAATGCAACATGAAACAATGTTTTTCTGCAGACAATCCCGCGTTTTGGAATCGACATCAATCTTTTTAAACCTCTAGGTACGTCTTCAGATCAATAATTGCTAATCGATACTGACGGCCACTTATACAACCTGTGGAATTTCCCCCCCCCCAAAATCACCCAACTTGCATCTACATACCCTCGACAGCAAGAACATAACCATTGGGATCTTTCTGCAGGATCTTGATGGCCTTTTCTGTCATCTCAGCAATAGAAGGCTCCCCAGCCTCGTCATCTGCGCGGTCAATCTCGTATTGCATATGACTACTCTCGAACAGACCTAAATCCAAATTCCAAACATATTGCCAATTAAGAGCCTGTCCCAGTTCCCTGGCAATGACTGAGTAGACTTAACATGGACCTGAGAAAGCCATTTGCTGGCAGCTTCATCCATTTGACATAGACGCGTGCGACACTTTAGCCGCAGCCAAGTATTCAAGACGCAGTCCGAGATATTGACCGCAGGCAATGTATCAATCCTACAGCTACATCACCTGAGAACAATGAAGTACGAAGACTTCTTGCTGTGGCTGTGGTGGTGGTGGTGGTGGTGTTTCTGAGTTTGAAATTTTCACTCACCCATCCAACTTACCGAGAAGGGTATCTGTTTTCGCTGGATCCACGTTGTTGAAGTCTTCCAGGTTCCAGACGTATTTTGTTCCCTCTGTTGGCTTGCTGGTCAACCATTCCTCTATGAGAGAAACAGGAATCAAGCTCTGGGCAAATGACGAGAACTTTCAAACGAATTTATATCCAGCCTCAGATGCAATAATATTAACGTTAGCTGAATCTCTGTCAACACCACCTTTCGCTGGTCATTCAAGAAGCAGAGGAAAATAATTTTTTTCCAACTTGTTTTTTTTTTTTGGGGGGGGGATGGCTGTCAATATGCCTGCAGTATTATGCATTTGCGAAAGTGTTACTGCAAGAGTGTAGTAATGTCCAAGGTCATGTGAGTGGCGAAATGCAACCGTCCTCTTTCGAATTCAGCTGTCGACGTTGGTAAGTTCAAAGACATGTAAATTCATATTAGTCCCAGGGAAAGATTCCCTGAGAGCTCGTTGATCAAGGGACGAAGAATGGGGCAGTGAGGAGTTAAATAGGCAAGGGAAAAACTTGCATTATTTCGTTGATACAATGACTGATATCCTAGTGATTTTGAGAAAGAGGAAACAGAACACTATTTTTGACGCCATAATATCGTTGGTGATGTCTTGTTAATGTCCACTTGAATTACCTATAAGGTTGCGGCCGTCCGTGCGGCCCCCGTTTTTTGTTGGGTACTCGGGATCCGTAACATTAGTGCCTGTCAACTCCCGACGACCACCTGCTAGAACCACCTAGGGAAGACCAAAAAAATGTTTGTCGAGGGAATATACCTACTCTTTGTGATCTAAGTACCGGCAAAAATCAACCATGTTTTAGGCCCAGGGAACTGTAATAAACACAATTGGCCAAGAATGCAAGACTACTGCCTGTGAAACCCAGGTTGAATTCCTCACTGTAAAATGTTTCAATTAATAACAAAAATGCCACCAAGAAGTAATGTTGCGTTGCTCTGCAGGTTTCTGTCACTTTATAGTGCGGAATTGATTCATTTGGCGGTTTTTGACTCCACAAGGTACGACCGCGGTTACCCCCCCCCCGACAAAGAAGAATAGGGAAGTTCTGACTTATCAGAGTTTGCGAGTTAGCCACGCTCGCCAGGCAACGCTATGGAATTTTGCACGCTGAGTTTTAATTGTCTCAGATTTTGCATGTTGTGACTCAATTTTTTATATCATGTAAAATGGACAATAATTCACACCAATCTGCTTTGACTCTAGTTACGACGATAAGTCAACTGAGCCAGCCTCAGTTGACGCTAGCACTCAGGCGGGGGACCCTGGGAGGTAACAACAACAAACAGATGACCAGTCACATTAGACCCTGAAGTACCAAACTTACATCGAAGACTTTACCGTTCTCGACCAGCTGAGCTCCGATATCCGTGCAGCCCTTGGCCGCCTCCTCGGGAGGTATGTCAGCGTTGTTCTCCCAGTGGCGATTCGGGACGTGGGCATACAGGGCCGCAGGTGTAGCGTGAGTAACACGCGCCGTTGTCACAAAACCCGTAGACTTTCCTGTCAAAAAGGACAATCTTCAACTTTCATTGAGAATTTCTTTGGTCAAATGTACGTCCGGGGGCGAGATGTTATGGACTGGTTTGTTTCGAGTAATGCTTAAATTTTTATGCGAAGTTGACTACATGTTTGTTAGAGTGTAGATACATGAATACCCAACAGGGTAGGAAAGGGTTGTCACCTGCACGGTGCGCGTGGATCAGAAAAGAATCCACAGCTGCCCCGCGGGTGGACTCGCAATCACCGAACCGCGCCCTCGAGTCCAACCCAAGCATGTCGTCGTTGGCTTTTACACCACAGAAGTACGCGGTGGCCGTTGCGTCTGACGATGCCACTTGCTTATCCACACCGTATGTCTGTGAAGAGCAGAGAAAGTTTGACACGAGGATAGAATCACATGCTTTAATTTCTTTGTTTGCATGCCCTCTTAAGTATAAGACTTATACACTTTCATGCTAACATGTAAATATTTTTAACTGCCGAGCTTGTTTACAGTTTATATCTGAGTACTGCGGGGTGGAGTGAAGTCCCACGACATTTAGAAAATTGACCCGTTAACGTGGACATGATAAGGGGATATAAAGAGTGTGTTCTATTGCTAAACACGTTTTTAACATTAATGTTTTAGGGCAAGTTCGATATTTTCCCTCAGTCAGACTAGTGTCAAAATCATTAGAGTGTATAAGCCTGACGCGATAAACTTGAATTGAAATAGCAAAGAAACTGGAATAAAATTTTGGGCGTACTTTTACTGTAACAGTACAATCCATCGAAGCAAATTGGATTTCTATCAAGAAAATTAGCAAGGTTTGCGACACCTCCGCAAGGCTGACTACGCTGAGCGGGTCACTGGTACTCTTCGAGTGTAGTAAAAAAAATTCATATTTTTTTTGTGCGCTGGCAATGCAAGGGCCCCCGTCTATCCTGTTTTTCCCCTCGCCATGCATGCTTTGATGTACACGCCCCCTTAGAAGGCCAGGACCAGTGTCAATGCCAAGGTGAGCTTCAGCCGCTTGAAATATGGGTAAGTGCCCGGGCAGTCTCGTTGACATACCGACGAACTTTAGAAATTTTTTATAGATAAAAAAACGCAATTGTCGAGCTGCCGCAGTAGCCTGGTGTTTTGTGTCTGCCACTTGGTATGGAACAGGTCTCGATTTCAACTGAACTCCACTGCTATTCTTATGCTGGTTGCATGCGTGGTTTAATCACCCTTTCCTTTGATAATTTCTGGTTTGAATAGTTTTTGTTGGAACTCCTTTGTGCTACTCCAGAGTCACGTGTAAAACCAAGATTGTTCTATTTCAAAGGAAAATGAATAAACAGAAAGTAGGGGAAAAATGGCCCGAATTGTAAGACCAACAGCACTGTCACGACTGAGTATGCCTGACTACGCGGTGTCGGCATGGGCAAACATGGTGTGGTTTTCATACGGCTTGCGCTGACTACATGCTCCATCCAGCATCTAATTAATGTATGTGAATTCGATATGAGTTGCATGAAACCTGTCATCTAACGAGTGTCAGCTCTTATATTTCCAGTTGTATATAGTTCAGAATTTTATATTCTTACAGCAGCTGGTTGGTATCATTTCTCTTTAGCGTCGGTTGAGTTCTCGTTTTCTATTCATCAGTTCATACCTCGACCCTTTATACAATTACAACTGCTAGGAAGAGAAGTTGTGAAACAAAGCTAAACGTTTCTGTAGATGATTTTTTCCCCCAATACCCATGGCACAGGGCGAAAACAACAGCAACAAACAAAACAAATATAAATGAGAGAGAAAAAACTCTGTGAGCTAAAAGACTCCGAAAACTTTTGGCAGGCCCGGCATACTTTTCAATTTTAATTGGCTTCAGTCAATACATCCTGTTTATAATTTCAATTGCTGTGACCGACAATTCGCATGACTTTCCTGCTGAAATAACCGCAATGTATGATTCCCCTTATCTGTGAAATCATAATTACAATGCATTATGGTCGTAGAAATCGACCAATTTCGCGACCTGGTGGACGCAGGCTAGAATGACCACACCACGCCCATAGGCGCCTTAATATATCTCATCCGCATACTCTGCATGTGATATCCCATTCGAACTAATCATAATATCCTTTATTCTTATCCCTCAAGCGTGGAGCTCGTGAGAAACGTATAGACAATTTTTTCCCTGCTATACTTCGCAAAGTAAGAAAATAAACCTCATGTACTTTTATTGCACTTATGGGCCGTCTATAAAGTATACGAACGCACGAGGGGTGGTGGTGCCGTTGTGTACACCATGCGTACAGATTGGGGGGGGGTTCAAGTCAGTACGTACTGTACGCAAACCGAACATTTGCCTGTTATTGTAATAAATCCTTAACATACCAACACCCTTTTTGTCATTCAAATAAATACAAGAATCAGCTTTTGTGTGTCGAAATTCAAGCACAGTATCCTCCGTCCACCCCACCATGATTCTTCCTTTCAACGCCTATTATAAGTAAACCGCAACATTGCACATGTCACAAGACCAACAGGGGGAGGGGGGTCTGAAAAGTTGGCATTTCGTACCTAAGTACTGCATGAACGGCCCCTACAATAAGGGCATCACATCCATGCCTGCTTCATTATTTTCAGGAATGGAAATGTTTACTGAACTAAAGAAAACTGAAGACAGTGTTTTCATCACCGTGGCAGACAGGGTCGACCCTTTAGTCTGGGTTAAAGTAGTCCGATTGCGTCGATCGTGTATGCGTATAAAATCTGCCACAGACTGTCATGAGTGAAATCAACAACGACATGCCCCATAAGTGAATTATGCTGTCCACGCTTGTAGTGCTGAGGCATTCTAAAACTACCTAATTTCTGCCTAATACTGTACATGACGTACAACTTCGGGAATAAGTACATGAATTACCAACGTTTATTGAGCTACGGGGGCCTGGAGTCTCTTTTGAACCAGTTATGTGGAACAGCTTGCGTTACATGGACCTTGTAATACACACCTTAGAAAGGGCGACATTTGGGAACTCTTCCCACTTCAGTACCGTCTCCTCCCCAGGATTACCCATGTTCTGGCCCTTCAGGATCCGGGAGGCAGTCACGGTTGGCAGCCCCATGCCGTCCCCAACGAAGAACACCACGTTCTTGGCGACGTTCTTGTTCACTTTGCGCTCGCGATTCAGGGCATTCTGCAGAGTCTGCCGAGCCTGGTTGTTCCAAAATGCAGCATCTTTAGGAAAAAAAGGCATATGCATAAATGATCATTATTCATGAGTCGGCCATACTGAAATTAAAAGTGAGGTTAACTCCATTAATTTTGGAACTTGAAAGAATCGATGAAAGAATAAAAATAAATCCCTTGCCAAATCAGTACCTGTCAACTCCAATGAATAAAAATTATTTCTTATTTGTGATGAAACATATTTTATTGTTTTACGACAGATTTAGCAAATTAATGAAAGTAAGGTTTTCAACCCACATAAAGTCTGATACTATCCCATCCAACGATAAAAAAATTATAAAACAGATTCAATTAGCATGCTTCCATAGGATAAAGGTCCGTCTGAAATTATACTGCAAAACAAATTGAAAATAACATTCTTTTTCTGCTCTAGAGTTTTTACTGTGGTTTTCATGGCGTAGACTCGATTTCTATTTATAATACGATGTTCACGTCGCTCATACATCGCAGACATTACATCCACTGATTACCCCAATTTTGTCGGTGTTACATCAAGTCGCAGCTGAAAAGTAAAGCGGTATACACACCCTGAGGGCGGACTGCAACAAAGCAGAAGCTCTCGCGCGACATAATGTTAACACGTTTTAAAAGGATACGGTTGAGTAATATTTACAGTAAAGAGTCCCTCTGGGCCTCCGTACATTTAGTCAGGCACTCTTTTTCAGAAGACGTCATTTTTGTATTAGGCCTATACATTTACATCTGGGAACCAGACAAATGAGGTGGTCTTATGTCTTGCGTAAATACAAGCTGAAAACACTATTTTACAAGTTAGGGGCAGCCTATTTCAGTGTTGGTAGCGGCGGTATATACCCAGCAAGAAATGAGACCGAGGGGTACCCCCCAACATGTCCAATCCCGATACACATTCCAGACTGCTGTTACTTAACACATCCCCCCAAGATATCTGAAAGACATTCCCACGATTCCTGCGAGACAATGACCAGCGGGGTTCTTTCCGTCTCATACCTTGCTGCATATGTATCGGCGGTACGTACGCATGCAGTCCCGATGGACCTCGCGCGTTATACGTACAAAAAAGCGAGGGCACTGCCCCCCCCCGCCCAAAAAAAAAACAACAGAAATACACGTCGCCGCACCATTTTTGAGCCAGTCCTTGACCAGAAACCGGAACATTTTTGGGCGTAAAATGGATAATTTCGAATTTGAAAGAGAAAATATATCTATACACATCCTGTCTCAATGCCAGAAAAGCCGAGGGTGTTCTGTGTGATAAAGGCTTATAGCGGGTGCAAACGTTCCTTTTTATTACGGCCACATGATTGTTTTCGCTCAACAAGCATCTGATTTTTTTTGCAAAATGTTGAGCTAGCTTTTATGTAATTTATTTCTAAAATTGCCATTTTCAGCGAAATTTTTGAGTTGTTGATTCAAACAAGCAAATGTATCAAATAAAAAAGGTTTCATATAATCAATTAAAACATATGGTCTTTGGCCATTCGGCCGTGGCTGGGCATTCTCGCAGAATTATGCTTGCACATTACCAGCGCTCGGGAGGCAGAGACCAGTAGCCATTGTGTGGAGAGCCTTTTGGTTTGCATGAGATGCGGAGGGGACCGATGTAAGGCATCGGTGAGCTCGAGTGATAACCCCACCGAGATATGGTTTGTCGCCAAATGGAAGTCACTCCCATCCACGTACGTGTTGGTATTGCACGACTAGACCCCTGAACTACATGTAAAAATGTCGACCGTGGCAGCACTGTTAACGGGCAAAAGGGCAAACGAGGGGCACATTTCTGTGGTGCCATAGAGATAGCATGGTTCAGTACATATAGCTTTTGTTCAAATTGTTAATCCAAATCCTGTTTGGCATTTGTGCTGCTGCATTTCCATAATCACGTGAAAAAAACAACAACAACTGCAGTGTTATCCGGGGGAAGACAACCTCAATGTGTTGTTACCGGTACATCTGTTTGGGCACAAAGAACACCGATTTTCGAGATCTATTTATTTCTTTTTAAAATTTAACTGGCCTTAATTTTTTCCTTCTTTGATGAATCATTGTTTAATTACATCGCCATAGCTTGTAAGCATGCAACCCTTTCCTGGAGAAGTTTTCAGTAAAACTTGCAATTTACAATTTGAAACTGAAAAGGCCTACGTAGTGGGACTTATAGCGCTACGCTACGGACCCTACGTTGTCAAGGAAAGTATGAGCAATTTTTTGTGAATGTTTAAACATCAAACAGTGATTTTCAGGACATTTAACCTGAAAGGAATTTCAAACAACACTTCAGAAATCTAAATTGCTGCTGTTACCGTTTAAGTGGAGCAAATTCACTCCAACCCAACTACAGATCGACTTGAGCGGATCCAAATATAGTCAAGGAATTACAAGCCGCACACAGTATGCTGAAGATAAAATTACACACTGACCTTGCTCTCTGCTGTACCTTTTTTTCGCTGTAATTTCTGTCAACGTGTGAATGGATATGCATGTAATGAACATGAAACCGGAAAGACCATGTAGATAAAACAACACACTTTTGTGAAGACATATGGACATAAAAAATTTAATTATTCCATTTCATTACCCAGGGTATGCCCAAACAGTTTCAAACTGGTTTCCATTGGAACATAAATTAATACAATAGTTAAAAACTCATGATGAAAAGTAAAATTGACAAATACAACAAACATTAATATTTACAAATACAGACCACTACAACATCATACACATGTGAACATTTAAATAATCAAGGCATTAATTAAACACTGATCACAGGATGGGCGAAAATCCCGCACAAAAAACCCTATGTGGAAAAAAAAAAGAACACGGGGAAATTCCCGACCCGACTCCAATGAACATTGGCAACCAAGTTAACAGCTACATAGATCAGCTTTTTGGACTAAACAGCACTGGTCATGGCCTTTCGTAGTTCTGACTTGAATCCCAGTTGCTCTGGCAAATTGTTCCATATTTTTGCACCTTTCACCGTAAAACTTTGGGCGTAGGGACTTTAGGTCCCTTAAGCCAAAAAAGAGTCCCTTTAGCCAAAAAAAAATGCTACATGAAAGCCAGAAGGTAAAACCAATTAGCCTAAAATAATTGCTGAAATAGTAGTATGAATTACAAGAGAAAATGACCGTGAACCTTACACTGTAAACGGTTTACCACCTGGTTACATCAGTCATTTCTTGAAAGGTCTGTGGAACAGAAATGCACCATCTACATCACCCACGTCATTTTTCACCACCTATCAACAGTGAACGTTTGCCGTGGCATCCGTCCTAAAAGCAAGGCCGGCGGGGGATTGCTGGAATCTCGAAGTAAAACTAGACCTACTCCAATTTTATCCACACATAGTTCGCATTGCAATTGCAGCTCGGCGTTTGGATCCAAAAATCCAGGGCATTCCAGAGTGTTCCGAATGTACGGAAGAGTACTTGGAACATGACAATTTTTTTTTTTTTTTTTTTTTTTTTGCTTTACTACTTCGCCCGGGCTGAGTACTTACTATTCCGCCAAGGCGGATCACTTTTCCACCCAGGCGGATTATCCCTTTTCCCAGGCAAATTAGTATTTCGCCCGGCCAGATTACTATTCTGCCCGGGCGAATTAGCTTTCCGCCGAGGCGGATTAGCATTTTATTGACAGGGCTCCTACATTGTACCTATTTGTTTCACAATTCCGCCATTAATTTAATATTCCTGGGCGAAATAATGTGTCTTTTTTGTAGTCATGTCCTAAATACGCCTCCATACAAATGCAACGGTTGATCTTTTACAGTCTGCGCGGGTGGTTGCTCTCAATTATTCCACATGTCAACTGTTCAGAATTTCGTTTGACGCAACTATGGTAAGGTAGCTTGAAAAAAAGTGTCAGGTTTGTGGAAAAAAAAGCTTCCTGTTGAATTTCCCACCTGGTATCCAGGGTCACTTTGTGTTTTGGAACCTTCGCGCTTAGCGAGCGACCCATCCCAAAGATTTTGCTTCCTAGCTGTTCACAATCGGCAGGCACTTTTACCTTCTCAGTGTGTGAACAACCACGTAAGGGAGCCCGGAGCGAATTAAATTGTGTATGATATGAGGGTGTCTTTCATGAAAATTTATTAGCATTATTTTCCTTGTGTTGTCTTCCAAAGGCCGTGTGGACATTTTACATCGTGCTTGGAGTTGGACTTGGAAAAGAATGACTGAGTTGTAGCTTGTCGGGAGTGTCAATAGGTAATAATTAACTCCACACTGTAAAATAATTCTGACTGGAATTCTTGGTAACATTTTGATTACTTATGCACACGTTGGAAAGTGTAGCTCTCGGCCTGTTTCACACGGAATGTCAACTGGATATTCTGTGACTCAAAATGGTTTTGCCATGAATAACTGGAAGAGAAGCAGCACAACAAAATCAAAACTGATTCTTGTTTTTGGGCAACCGTTTCAATGACATTACGTGCGTACACGTATAGACTTTTCTCCACATTGCCTCTATCCTGTTTGCATAGGCGGTCAAAGTCTGCAGCATAGGCCTACATGTATATTGCCCTTTGTAGGTGCCAGGCTTCACCTCTCGTTGTACGTTTTTTCTCCGCTACTTTCCAAGGGTCGTGTTTTCATTTACTATTTGGTGAAAGATTTTATTGAAAGCTGCATGAGGCATTTTGTGTGCATGTGCTTTTGTATTGACAGTCAACCACAGGATTAGGAGGTCCCGGCTGGCAGAACACACGACTGTGCGCTGCAGACCATGTGAAAAAAGGTGTCATTGTTGGGCTGATGGATCGTGTGTATTGTCAATGGCGTGAGAACTGCAGTCTCTTTTTATCTGTGAATAATGTTGTCCTGCAAGAACAAGTACTTACACATACGCAGCAAATACAGTTGTCGTAAACATGAAGCTAATTCGAAATACATTTGATGCGCTTGATGATATTAAGTTTTATCGGTTGATAAATAATACTGAACTAGAAGTGAGCATGAAATAAAACAAGCAGGGAAGAGTTCCATTCATGGATGCCAGTAATTATTCCCTACAATGACCTATAAGCCGTCAGAAAGCAAAAACATGTCCAGAAAAGTTTAAAAAACCAAAGTCTTTTACTTAGAAACAGCCCAATAGGGTTTGTGCACAGGGTGTCAAGTAGCGTCTGTATACGAAACTCTTTCCAACAAGCCATTATGGCCTGCTACTGGATGGTTTGACCAGCATATTGATTTATGGTCGATCAGCACACGATTTTTTTCTCCAATCTCGCTCCGATCCAGGAGCGAAATTTTTACAGCTGCTCCGTGAGAGTTACGAGTTGACAAGCATGCACTCCGCGACCAGAGTTACAATCGTAATCACAACCAGTTCGATCATATGATGCAGGATTGTGTCATTCTTTTGGATTGACGGGATCTTTGGAATTCCTTTCAGATTTCCGAGACGGATGCAGTAGGTACCTTAGGGTATACAGCTTGCGCATCACATTACGGGGGGTTCCGTATGTCGTGCAATGTATCAGTATGATGGCGCATATTCCACACAATGATGTCCTCAGACACGCTCTTTTACAAAGGTGACGGGACATAATTGTGACGTGTAGAGACTTCAAGTGTCGGAGCAGAACCGCATGATTAACCTACCCCCCCCCGGATGTATGTCAAATCATATTGAAATCGAATGATTTGGGACTGTTGGGGCTATGCCCCGCATGTAACGCTACGTTTCGCCACTCCACTAACACATTGCACAAATGGGGCGATGGAGATAAATTTAAATATTTTCAGGCCATTTGTCCACTATTCCACTAGTACGACAAAGTGAGCTTTGTATAGACAATTAAATTTGACAAAGGCAAACACTTGAAGAGCGGCAGCTTAGTAACTGACTGATCCTCAAACAGAAATGTTGGGAAGTACACCCCACTGGTATCCCCTTTTTTCAAATACGGGTTTTCTTGGCTTTCAATACTCTATTCAAAAGGAGGGTTTTTAACACAGTTCTGAATAACATAACAATCAAAATTATATTCCTACGGTCGTTGTATTAGACGAATGATTTAATTTGACAAGACACATGGTTTACGTCCTAACCGCTTACCAGAATCTGAAAAGATGGAAACAGTGATTCTAGAACTAATGACATGAAGAAAGTTGTTCACAGAAAGACGTGGAATGCTCTGTTTCTGTTTGCAAGTATACAGGTATGAACTTTGTAAGTTAAAAGAAAAATAATTATTAAATAACCCGCCTCCCAACTGAGCAGTGGCAAACTTTGTCTATTCTTACTAGGTGCGTGCCATATTTGTGGATGCATGCTAATGGGCTTCGTCCTTGACCTCAACGCTTCATGTTCTTATGTTAGCACCAAAGACCACGTCTGCGGGCCAAAGGATGTAAGCGCTTACGTCCTTCTTCCAGGAACACAAAGATTTCCTGTCGTTTGCACCGTTTATTAGTTCTTTCAATGACCCGTGCACCAGTCTTATAGCTTCGGTGATGCCGTGAAATTGGTATTTTATAGAGGTGACTGAGATCATGCTCCCCGTTCCCTGCTAGCATAGCTTAAGGATATCCTTCCCACGTTCACACTGACAGGTTTCATACCCACGGCGTTGTGCACGCGGGTACTAGAAGCACTTTTCACTGTTCCAACCCCTTCTTCCGTCCTTCAATTCAGGGCGGTGAAAGGAATTCACTGTGAGGCCGCACCCCTAAAACTCTGACATTTGTCATCCGCCGTTTGAACGGCGACGCGGACGACGAACCCCATAGTCCCGGGGATACGGTAGGTTGCACCGTGAAATAGGAACACAAACTTACGCTGAGTTAGCTGCTACGAAAGTGAGCAAATCGGAACATACCCTGCGCTTCGACCCGGGCAATAGTGAGCAGAAAGACGAAAAGCACCGAGCCCCAAAGATGCATAGGACCCATGTCGATGCTGGGGAAAATCTTGGCGGAATCAACTCCCGAGATATTTATCCAACGGCAGATGCCTTTTACACGTCTGTCAGTCGAGCGTCGCACTGAAGGCCTGCTGTGGCGACCCTGGGCTCAGCACACGCCCTCGGTCAACACAGAGGGCGTTCTGACTGGAATAGACAAACAAAATGGGACCCGGTTCGGTCGCCCGCACCAGATGCAGTACTTTCTCCAAAATGGAGGAATATGGCCGGTGGGCGTCGCTCTTCTGTTCGGCTGCGTCCCATAAAATTCTCCCGAAGATCGTTTCCTTTTTTACATTTGTTTTAACCGTCAGTATCCTTTGCTATCTGTGTGCATATGAACTGGTGAGCTTCATAGTTCTGTAGTCGGCTGCATTCTTTTCAGTTCTTAAATTTTTGGATATGTTGAACTCGTTCAGTGACGATGTGGGTATATGCATGTATGCACGTAAAGGTCTCCAACGTTAACCCCTGCATATTTCTTGACAAACCAGAACAATGCTAACTGAGGACAAGGGGCTGTGGATATCACATTACAAACCCGCAGTCAACCACGCAAATTTACTGTCTACATTAATTTAAATTACATTTCAAGCAAATTGTCTTATGGAACAAATCATCGAGTTATCTATAGTCCTCGCACACTGAACAATAAAATGAAGTGCATGAAACTGGCCAAATCATTGTTCTTTATAAACCAATCTCTCAAACAGTGAAAACCCCAGGATATGATTTCTCTCTACAAAAAAGGGATGTTGCCATCGTTCAGTCCGAGCATACTAGAGCTAAGGTCTCAGTAGCGTATTGAAAATGGTCTGTACTTTGTAGGTGAAAGCCACACACTTGCCAGTCGGTGTGCACTGAGCACGGCAGTAGAAAGGTACATTTTGGTTGACCACATTGCAGCAACTTTTAACAATTTTCCAAAATTTTCACAACTTAATGTCAAACTGAACTGACCGCAAAGAATTGCTACGAAAACCGCTAATAAAACTAAGGCCCAGCTCGCACTGTGGAAAAAATGCCCCGCAGCGATATTGGAAAAAAAATACGACCCCTGCTCTTTTATTATATCAAATATTTTACTACTTGCCACAGATATAACTGCTAATGCGAAATCCTGGATATTACTTTTGGGTAGGCCTAATTGTCATGGGGGGAGGGGGCAAATGAGGAGGGTCGTGTGCACTGTGTCCTGAAACAACTAGTCGGGACGAGGTTAAACCTGAGTCAGCTCGGGGAAGCTATAGTCGAACAAACACATTACTACAAGGACATAGCATTTTGTTTCCTGTGTTGTTCACGTAAATATATAGCACTCTACCATATGAAGGCAGCGAAACCACAGAAGAAATTTAGCAGGGACCACCCGACAGAAAAAATACGTGTTTGCTCGCTTTGTTTGTACATAATTTTATATCCACTGAGCAGTTGAAAGTGTATCTGACTATTGAGTCTAGTGTGTAGTTCACTGGTGTTTTGGAATTCGACAAGAATGTGGATAACAAGAATGGCTTAACTGTAATAAAATCCAGGGAAAAAGGAAGAAAATACCAGTTTGCCATCCAATGGTGAGCTTCGGGGGAGGGGGTACTTTCACTGTGACTGTTAAAGACTCCAAGCTGGATATGCCACCACCAGTGAAAAATAGCAACGGATGTCGATAAAGAAATCTTAGCAGTATTGTAAGCTTGCGAAACTTCGTGTAGGACTGCCACTTAGCGGGACATTTTGTACTGCTGACGGGTTTCTTCTCTTCAATCTCACGATTTCAGGATCTGTTTTGCGTATCAGGGCCCTTCATTTATTACCCCCCCCCCCATTTTTCTCTGCCACATGCATTTCTAATAGTTGTGTGAAAAGACGAGAGGAGTGAAAGTGAAAAAAAAATAATGAATCGTATTTTGGACCGTTATCACTCTTTGAAGTCAGCTTCGAGACCATAATCCTGGCTCAAGACTGGTTTTGCATTTTGTCCCTGTACACCGCGGAAGACGTGAGCTGGCAAGCACAACTGAATAATGCTACTAGTAGAGGGCGCTTTATTTACATCCCCGTGTTAATGGGTGCAGACCACAGGAAAATCAGTTGCCATAGACAACTATGATAAATATGCCCACTTCAGAAAATTAGATAAATACTCACAAGTTTAACAGGTGTTAAAGAGACATATCAAACTAAAGCCCACTTCCTCATCTTACATTTTCCTTTCAATTTTCAGTGTCTTAACCGATGACTTTTGAAGATATTTCTCTCCAGAGAAAAGCACCCCTGCACACTTGTTTAACAAACCACCCAGTGCACGTGCCATTAAAGGCTGTAATAGCAGAAAATCTGACAGTTACAAATCGTGATTTGGTCCGCGCAGGCAATTTTGGACCTATATACTGGCCTGCAACCTTATATATTTGCCACTGAAAATAACAAAAAAAGTGGGTAGTAGGGGGGCAATTGGCACCTACTTGACGGCCATGCCGAGGTGCAAGGAGGCGTCCGGAGTCCTGCAAAAGTTTCTGCATGACAAGACCTCCAACAATTATGATCAAAGCCTGAGAGAAGCACTAGGGGACCCTGTATGTAAGAATGTCCTAGGATCGTAACACTGTGATCACATATAGTACAGGAGGCTTTTAGCCAAGGAGACGATTTCAGATGGAAGACGTAGGCCTACGAGACACTGAACACGCCTAGCTAATGGGGGGGGGGTGTTTTCACTCCACCAGACTGGCTGTTTGTGTAGGTGACGATCAGCAGACAATGCAACCGTCGTTTCCCAACTTCAACTTGCCCATAATCTCAAGGCCCCAGATACTGCGTTGGGTCTTGTTCGGATAGATGAGCGTGCGGTCTGTGATGTAGAATACTAGAGATGCAGTGTGGGGGTGTAGAGGACACGAGAAATGTCGTTTGTGCTCCTCACTTCACACAATCCTGCTTCACTGCTTTCGGACATTGGATTTGTTCTCTGGAATATTTTAGCTCATAACCGGGATACGTTCAATTATTACAAGTACGCTCTGTTTAGTTTCAAATTGTTGTTAACTCTGTATGATAAACGTCATGATTCATACAGAAGTTGAGTTGTATGCATCCATATTACATTTTATAATTGTACTTTATATTTTGGGCTGTTTCAATAATTTTACATTTAGCATCATGCACGCCGTCACTGGACTTCTTCTGTCCAAAAATTAAATCGGTGATACCTTTCTCACAGTCTCATTGAGACTGACCATTTCCGGCGAGGCTCCTATTTTAAGAAATGTTCAAACGACAGTATTAATTTTATCTGTAAGCAGGGTATTTGTCTTGCAATTTGTTTCGTCTGGGGTTATAAACGTGCGACCTGCCACGTGATTTTCGTCGTTTTTCGAAAGCAAATTTAGATGAGTTGGATAACAAAACAATCACGACCAGAAGTGGCCTATGCAGCAGCGTTTCTTAGTTTTGATGGGGAGGGGGCTCAGAATGTGGTATAAATTATCTTCGTCCGTCAAAATATACTTTTAATAGGGAGGAGGTGGGTACTACAGGTGGGTAGGGCTGGTAGCCGTGATTATTTCTAAATTGACAGGCGGGTGGGTAGATTTAGAGCCCGGGGCTTCGTTCTGATACAACCCAGGAACAAGAGCAACTTTTGACCGTATCAACTCTTGATGAGTGTTTAAACTACGATCAAGCCCAAACTCCTACGTTTGGTGCAGTCAGAAAGGGTTCCGTACATGCCCCGATGGTTTTCATCCCACACACGGCCGTGAACAGCCTTTCCGAGCTGGCCAATCGCCTTGGTCATGGTCATCACCCGCTCATCACACATGCGCATACTTCATCCCAGGTATATGCCTTGACCTTGACGATGTATACAGCCTTATCGCTTGCTGCGATCACGCGACAGCAAGATAAGAGATGCGGTGATCGATTAAAAAAAACGGAGACTTATTAAATAGTAGGGAGGGAAGGTGTAAAATGCATAACATGACGCTGATAGTCGCAGGTGCCAGGCGCAAGTCTTCATCAGGACTTATATCAATCTCTTTGGTTCGTCAAAAATGTCTCCTCAAATTCCTTTGTAGGTCATCTTCTTGTCGGAAATCGATTCCAGGATGCAATTCTTCAGTCTGGCGTGGATCACGGTAGTTTTCTTCCTCGGTCTTGCCAGCTGTGCGCGAACACAGAGTAAGTTTGCTGGTGTTCCTGAAGTGTGTTTCATTCGAGTCAAAATTATTACCCGCTTGCTGCAAATCCCATTCCTAGCTCTATTACATTGCTAGGTAGTCGATTTTTGTTCCCTTTAATTTGAATATATAGAACTGGAATTCCCAAACTCCATTTGTTGTAGTAAAGCTTTAGGGTTTCAGGAATTTGAAAGGTCTATGCAGCGGCCACTGCTAGGCAGTTGAAAAATCATACTTGCTTTGATAATAACGTTATCTTTAAGTCAGTCATTTTTGTAGAATGTAAGCCGATTGGAGATTGCCTTTGGCACGCACGGCTATTACGTTTAAGGTGTCTCGATAGAAAAAAAAAATTGTTAAAGTGCCCCCTTCTTGTAGGAAGGATTCCTTTCAGTTCAGAGAGACTGGTTCAGCTAATTCGGCTTTTCGCATTCCGAAGTACAGTACATACGGTATAACGAAAGATTCCGGAAACCCGCATTGGTCCAATACCCTGACATGCCCGTCAAGTAGGCTGAGCGACCCGCTGTTCAACTTCGGACTCTAAATGGCAAAATATATGGTTACATATGCCCCTCGCATAACTGCCTCTTCGTGCATGATTACAGGGCTATTCGTGCTCACCACATGCATCTGCAATGTCTTTGTATTGACATCCAGAAATTCCTCAGAACAAATATTTATCTGCCAAATGTTAATATTTTTATCTGAAAGGTAAACGATTATAAATTATCGGTGTGGTAGTTATAGATTAAATATAAAGTCAATGTAAATGTCTAACTTAGTATGACTGCAGGGAGTTAATAAACGACAGACAGTTTTTGATTTGTTTTCTTGGCGTAAACATACTCAATTCTTGCTGAATAGGTACCAGCCTTACCTTAGTAATTACCGCACTGTAGATGTCAACTGACGTCATCATAGCAAAACACATGTCACCAGCTCCCAAATATTTAAGAAGCCTTTTCAAAATCATTCGCATGATCAATTTTGTATTGGTTTCGCAGCCCTTGGGTCGTACTGTTCAAAAGAGGCCCTTTTGCCTTTGCTGTTCAAAATCATCTCCCATAAAAAAATTGAAATAAAGAGTACTGTAATAATTGCCTAGTCACACCTGGCAAATGGCTTCAGCAGGCGAAGTGGCGAAAAATTGTTCCGATGATGGGGGGCTATGGGGGTGTGTGACTCACCCAGCCATGGAAATTTGTCAAACTGGGGGAGGCTGATACTATATGACTCTGGGAGGCAAAGTTTACCCTGCAGAATCTTACATCAGAACGGCTTATTTACGGGTTTTTTTTTTAAATTGGGTGCTACTGAATACATTCTGGTTGCTGGGAAATCCGAAAAAAATCTTCAATATCTGCCTTGGCTTTTCTCACCACGCGAAAATGGGGGATGTATATCCCCTTTCTCCGGGATTTACGCCACACTCAACGGTACGACCATGATGACTACATAACTGTACGTTGATCTTTTTGGTTTTGTTTTGTTTTTTTTTGTTTTTTTTTGTTCGAGACCCGCTTTTGTAAACCCACTCAAAAGTGTTATTGGATTGAAATTAATATTTGCTTTGCTTGTAGACGCTCGATTCTGGAACGACCAAGCCCAGGATACGTTGCAGAAAGCGCTGAGCAGGGAGGCCAGCCTGAACCGCAACGTGGCCAAGAACATCGTGTTCTTCGTGGGGGACGGCATGGGTGTCTCCACCGTGACGGGGGCCCGAATATTCAAGGGGCAGCAGGCCGGCATGACCGGGGAGGAGGCGATCTTGGCGTGGGAGAAGTTCTCCAGTGTCGCTCTCGTAAAAGTCAGGAAGCCGTTTTTGTTTTTTGGGTTTTTTTTTTGTTTTGTTTTGTTTTTTGTTTTTTTTTCTCAATATGCACATGGGGGGTAGTCCCGGGGGTATCGGGGTACATATCCCCCACTTTTAGAAGTGGCGTGGGCTACTCAATCACCCCCACCTTTTTGAAGAATACGAAGAAGTTTTTGGACTTCCCAACATCCAAAAGGTATTCCTTGACACTGTAAATGGGAGGACAATAAAAACAAAGCCATAAAATGTCGTTCTGATGTCAGACTGCACAAATATAATACACAATGCACATCTGGATCATGAACAGCGCGCCTTCATACATACATTTAGTGTCATGCGATACTATAACACCCCCCCCCCTCGCTTTTAAAAAGTCTGGGCCGGGCCATTGCCCCCACCTCTTTCCAGCCAGATTTACGCAACTGGATATAAAACAAAAAGATGGGAGGTGCATTAACTTGGAACTAGTTGAGATTCTGCTCATAACGAGGCTGTAACCACGGGTGTTTCCAGCATACTCGGGTTTATTAAATTAATGTGAAAAAAGGAGCCCCGTCCACATTCAGTTTCACAGCAGGAAAGCCCATATGAGAATCCGTCTTTATATTTTTGATTAATAATTAATTTATTTATTGGTTGTTGCCCTCTGTGAATATTTTGGCCCTGGATATGCCCTTGCGCGTAATGATGTAACAAAAATACATAGGAAAAGAAAATCACGTCCAACGAGGTAAGCTGTCCAGGCACTATTCGTTCGAGCTGATGGTTTAAGTCCTTAAAGACTGTGTTGAAAATATTTTCACACATTCTGTCCTTTGTTGAAAGACACAGCAAGGACCTTGCTTTCTTGACGGATTCCGGGTGCAATATAACCACGCCCAAATTCATTGGATTTCCTTCTATGACCGATATATCCTACATATTCATACCTTAAAGTGAATATCCCTTTCTCATCCAACTGGTAGACTTATAACACCAACCAGCAGGTTGCTGACTCGGCCGGCACGGCCACGGCTTTCTTTTGCGGCATCAAGACAAAACAGGGGTCCATCGGCATTGACGACTCGGCCGAAAGAGGCGACTGCCATACCAGCTTGAACGCTGCTGTGGACTCTGTCATGATTGATGCTGAAAAAGAAGGTGACGACAAATTTTGCTCGCTGCTGAGAATGTGGACCTTATACGGGTGTCCCATTCTCTTCCTTTTTCTCCCTTCAAATTTGGACAAGCTTCGCCTTCATACAAAAACATGGCCTCATCATCATTAGAGGCAACGACGTTTACATAATTTGTTTCTTTGATACCATTCCATCGATCTGTGAAGCAGTAAACAAGCAAAGCATTAAACTTCTGGATTTTTCTAACAGTTTTGGACGCTACTGACGAAGTCAGAGCCCCCCCGTTAAATGGGTACCGTGGGTACAGTTGCCTGTACAGATCTGGTGTCTGCGTGGACGCTCCTTTCTGAAGGCAACCACTTTTTATGGATTCCGAAATGCATTTATAAAACGCTGTAATTTTGCACACGTGCTTTGATCAACGATCTTTTTTCAAGGTTGCCCTGACCAAGTCTTGAAAAATAAAAGGCATGTACTCTAGGGAGTGAGCACCTAATAGTGTAGCACAAGCTAGAAATTTAGGAAAACATTAATAGAAAGGCGAATAAATGCTTAAAACGGTGGTGAAAGCAAATGGTAGGTTTAAAATATAAACCCAGGCTCAGATGTCGCAGTAACAACATAAAAACTATTGGTTTCCACACCAAAGTCCCAAAACCTTCATTAAAGTATGGCCACTGTGAATTTTCTTGGACACAACCTCTTTGCATCTTCGCGCTCTTCTTTCATGTATAAAACTCTTTACATTCCCATTTGGTTGAATGCACTGAAAAGTGCATTTTTATCAAACACTTTAAATTATGCATGCTTTCCTGGACAACAGAAGACGCTGGCGCTGTAGTGTCATCCAGGCAAAACATACGTAAGTTTTTCTGTAAAAAATGTGAACCTAGGATTTACTTACCGATTTTTTTTTCAGAAAGGGATTGGTGCTTGCTTATTGCAATGCACATAAACAACAATGAATCAGCAAAAAGAGAAAATATGCCCAGCAAAATCTACAAAAGCAGGATATGTTGTGTACAAACTAATATAATATTTAGGCTTTCTTTCTCGGATGATATCACAGTTTTGCTTATAAATATGGAAATACTCATTAGCACAAAAAAAACAACAACAGTAAAACACCCTTTGAACTAGTGAAACAAAGTTGAAAATCAGAATACCTGAGATGCACAAAGAGTGCATTTTGAAGGTTTGCATTAAAGCAAACGATTGCAACCGCTTCCCCCTCCCCCTGTTTGCGGGAGAAAACTAGAAATCACTCTGTTTTGCAGGTAAGGCAACGGGGTTCGTCACGACTACCCGTGTGACTCACGCCACACCGGCCTGCTTGTACGCGCACTCGCCAGACCGGGACTGGGAGAATAACGCAGATATTCCGAAGAAGGAGGCTGCACTTGGATGCACCGATATCGCTCACCAACTAGTCACACTGGGGATGAACACCAAGGTAAAATAGTCTTGATTCAAAGACAGAAGCTGGACTTATTAAACTCAAATACAGAACAAGGCACTATTGAAATAGAAACGAATACAAAATAGTTTTAACTCAAATTCAAAGAGCCAAAGAAACAACAAGCTTTGGGCAATTACGATGTTCGCTACTAATAAAAATATTCAACTTAATTCAAGCATCGGCGATACGTGTACATATACGAACTTAGTAAACGCATAACGCCATGCTTGCAACGAATGCGCCTGAACTGAGGCAGATCGCCCATTATTTTCATTACTATGGTTTGCGTTTTGCAGTAGTCTTTGGGTTTGTTCGTCGGTGGAAATGACGTTGTTGTTGTTGTTGTTGTTGTTTACGTAATATCACGCCCTCTATTGTTCCCTCTGGGAGTTGATAAACTGTACTACCCTCTCGCAACGTTTAATGGGATTTTATTTATAGGTCGTTATGGGCGGGGGTCGGCGTGAGATGATACCAAACAACTTCAGCGACCACGAGTATCCAGTCTTGACAGGCAAACGGACGGACGGACGCAACCTGATAGGTAGTGGGAACTGACACAACACGAAACATTCAAACTATGTAACTAACTCAGGCGTCACTCAACAAGCTGTACTTGGAGATAATGAAACAGGGCCAGCTGCTGATTATGGTGGAAAAACCATTGTAGCTAATTGTAACAAACAAAAAAAAGGGCTAATTTTAAAAAATCCAAGACAAGACTACTCACAAAGGACTATTTCAGTCAGATAAAAGCAATGATGTCAAAACTTAGTGCACAGATGCAACTTTTACATTCTAATTCAAGTCTCGATTATACTTTTAAGAAAATGTTGCGCTCTATACTGAGTTGTATGTCAAGATGCATGTAATCAGATAAAACACAATGCCGATAGAACTGGCAGAGTTGTTCATTTCCTAATTTATACATTGGCAGTCTTTAACATTTCCCCAAATATCTGGATCTTTTCATGTGGTTTGTACAGATGAATGGTTGGCCGGTAAAGACGCCCAAACGAGTCACTTCGTGTGGAACCTTGAGCAGTTTAATAATGTAGATCCGGAAAATACCGAGTATCTTCTGGGTAAGTTTATCTGAAAGTTGAAAGGGGTTCTCGGTGGTCTTACTGGATAATATGCTTTTGCAGTCTGTCGTTTACTGATGTCTTCACGGAGGGTAATGTGAGAAGTCGCATTGTAGATATTCGCATCCACTCTAATTCTCCCCTAAGATGAGCGGAAAGCAGTTCTGGTTCCTGATTTTCTGAGCACTTAGGCTGAACCCAGGGGTGTTTTGTTTGCTATCATACTTATTTCCCCAGGCCTGTTCGAGACCAGTCACATGCAGTACGAAGCCGAGCGAACCGACGAACCGTCTATCGCTGAGATGACCGAGAAGGCCATCCGAATCCTGCAGAAAGACAAAGACGGTTTCTTCCTGATGGTGGAAGGTAACAACAAATTAATAAATAAATAAATTACAATGTACTAGAATCGTGACGGAATGGACTGGGAAAGCCAAAGATTAAGAAATAGTTCTGCTTTTATGGGATACTTTTTTTTGTAAAAATGTGCACAAATATAAACATGAAAGCCGGAAAGCGAATCTAACCATATAGGATTATAAATCTATGACGCAGCGGAAATAATACCGGGTACGTTTATTGTTTCAACATCACGGTCATGATTTTGCTTGCTGCTTCCCTTTTCCTTTTCTTTTTTCATGCTTGATCCTTTGTCACAATGTTTCTTGCACAACTTTGATATCCTGGGCATAACCTGGAATCAAACCCTTGTAATCAACAGCTATATAGAAGCAAGGTGTTTGATGGTACAAGCACACAGCCCCAAAGGTCACCTGAAGGCAACCATGCGACCAGCGCTACACCATTAAAATCATTACAACATAACTTGTAAACTTCAGAACCCTTAAAAAATCTTTAACGGCAGAAAAGTCAGTTTTTCTGGCCGGGGTCAGACAACGCGTCCGGTTAATTTTTTGTTATTTTTTTATGACTCATCCCAGGAGGCCGCATAGACCACGCCCACCATCAAGGATTCGCAGGGAATGCCTTCAATGATACAGTGGCCTTCGAGGCTGCTGTTGCCAAGGCAGTGGAATTGACCAATGAGGAAAACACGCTGGTGATTGTCACAGCTGATCACAGTCATGTGATGACCATAGGCGGCTACCCGAGCCGGGGTAACCCTATCTTAGGTAACGTGACCCATTCTTTTTCCGAAACCTGTTTCAAAAAGGTTAGTATTTACACAACAGTAGAGACATGCCAGGAGGATGTCTCCGTGGTGTTGTACTTGGACTTGTATTTAATTTCAGTATGAACAGTTGCAGTACAGACCAAACCCTGAAGTCTAGTTCCTCGACCCGAAACACAGACGACTCTTCCTTCTTTTTCCTAAACAAAACTAGCTACTGCATATAGTAAAGTGACGGGTCGCTATGTTTTTGTTTTTTTTTTCAATTAGCGACAGAGGACAATAAAAGAAACTTATAGGTCGAGTCTTCATTTTCGTGGTTTCAGGTTTGTCCAATGTTGAGGTCGGTGATGACGGTCTGCCTTTTACCACAATCACTTACGGCAATGGACCAGGAGGCGTTGCCGAGCAAATCAGTTACAACACCGCGGGCAAAAGGCGAAACCTCACCGAGGAAGACACGGGTAGGAATGCGTTCGTGTGAGGTTACCATTAGCGAGACTTTGGCTTGAAGTATGCAAATGAATATCCAAGTACTAATGGTTGATGAAAATTTATGTGGTGCTGGTTGCAGGTTTAGACTGAACAAAACGGGGGGAATCGTTTTCATCAAATCATTAGATTAGAGCGCAACGCAGACATTTTAAAAACATGAAAAGTGAGGGCCCCTGTACGTTACATAACTAACCTTTGCCGATATGTGGCGACTTGCAAAAAAGTCATTGATAGTTATAACCCTTCCCTGAGATTTTCCTATTTTGTAAACGCCGCCAGGGCTTACAAATTCCAGTCATATCAAGACGTATCCTTTCCAAGTTTCCAGAGAAAAGAATAAGAGCTGCGTTGATTTTCATGACGCCATATGGGTTTTCTAAGATGCTCCTTGGCAGAATTTTGAACATTTCGCCCATTCAGCAAATTACATTATGCTGAAATCAGTTAATTTTTTGCTACATCTTTTTTCATCAGGCTCTCCAAGATTCGTTCAACCGGCTATCGTCCCCCTGGGCATTGAGACCCACGGCGGGGAAGACGTGGCTATCTACGCCAACGGGCCCATGTCGCACCTCTTCCACGGTCTCCACGAGCAGAACTACATCGCGCACGTGGTGCGCTACGCCGCCTGTCTTGGGGACAAGAAACACTGCGAGGAATACGTGAATCCGTGTGGTGATGTGAAGGGCGGGGCCAGTGCAATACTTACCGGAGGCTTAACAACAGTTGTGATATTCGTCAGTATTTGGTCTGCCCTTGTTTTGCATGAACAGCTAGCAGGCGTTTGAACAAGTCTGCCTACTTTATTATTTTTTTTTACGGTGATCGTTTTTATCAACCAGATTCATGAAACGAAGTCGAGGGGAATTGGGGACTGTATGAAACGAATAATATTGTAAACTGTTCCATTCGAATATTGGTAAAAGCGCCTAGGCTGCAAACAAATACTTTTGCCCAAGAAAGTCTCCTAGGGTCTTGAAGAGGCTCTTACAAAAGCTACAATTCACATAATCCTAGACGACAATCATGCAACAGCGGCTGATGGCTGTAGTGTTAGTTTGTCGACCCTGCTAATGCCCTAGTTGAAAAACATCGACTGTACTATAAACTACTCGTAATTATTAAACTCATTGATCGTCATATTAATATTTTAATAATTATTTATGACTGAAATACATGTATGTTATATACTATTCATAAATACGTGTTTCAAGCTAATTATATGTATTACACTGAACTGGCTATAGCTATAACACGTGTAATGCTGACTTTGGGGTGAAAGTCCCCTGTTTTTGTTTGTTTGTTTGTTTGTTTGTTTGTTTGTTTGTTTGATTTTGTTTTTTTGTTTTGTTGTTTTGTTGTTGTTGTTGTTTTTTTGGTTTTGTTTTGTTTTGTTTTTATTCAGCATATCAAATCCCACCGGTACATGAAGAAATTCCGACAGTAAAAATGTTTGACTCTTTGTGGGTTTTTTCAGTACGCTCAAAACCAAGTGCACGTTGACAGGCAAAATTCCAGCTGCTTTTGCAAGGTTTGTTAACCACTGTTAACGCAATACTGAAATGGTCACACCAAAAACCAAAGGACTTTTTTCGGCCTTGAGCTGGCGGTGCATTACTGAAAGGCTTATTTAACTGATTATTTTTCTAAATGCATCGTTGTTAAAAAAAGAAAAACAAATCCAAAGCTGTCGAGGGCATCACTTCTTTTAACTGAAATCGTCACCTTTTAGATTTGTCAGTTGGGGCCAATTTCATAGAGCTGCTTAAGCACAAAATGTGTTTAGGCGTGAAAAAAAAAGCTTGCTCGCTAAATCAGGTCACCAGCCAGAAACTCCATATGATGTACATGTATATTGTTTGGAGTTAGCTAGTTTTCGGTTATAGAATGGTAATCACACAGAGTTTCAGCTAGAAACCTTTGTTTTTTAAGCAAGGTTTGTTTCACTCCTAAGCAAGTTTTTGTGCTTAAGCAGCTCTATGGAATTGGCTGTTGCTGCAGCTGTTGTCTCAAGAATTAATACACTGAAATTCCTAACGTTTATTATGAATATATGAACCCGACGCTGCACCCACATCCTACAAAAACAAATAAAGGTTGCAGTAAATAAAACAAAATCAAAAGTGACTACGAATTCCCCCCGTCTCCGAATTCGGACCATGACCCAATAACATTGCTCTGCTTACCGCTAAACAAATTCTTGTGCTAACTATAGCTTCCAAATTTGCAGTAAGCGTTTTTCTCAGTTGCCATTGTTTCTATTACATCACTACCATCAGAAAATAATATTTCCTCCAAGGGTTTTATTGATGTGTTCGTAGTCTCTATGAAATACCTGGAGCCTATGTAAAAGTAAAACTGTGTGCTTGGCAGCGCCGCGAAAGTGGGCCCAGGTGCATCGACCAGACATCATGGTGAGTTCAGATCACGTTATCGAGAGATTCCACACACTGCACTGGATTCGATGTGCAGTGTGGCACACAGACTCATAAGTAGACGATTGGACGGTCGCTTCTAACTAGTATGCAATAAAATGATTCTCCTCTGATGCACAGTTGCATACAGCCTAATCAACATTGGGTTTCATGGGTTGCTCCTGGTTGGTCTAGAGCCTCTCTGTCAAGATGCGATACTCAGGCATGACGTGGATCCCGATACTGTTCTGGCTCGGATGTGCCGGCTACACCCGGGCACAAGGTAAGAGTACGATATCTCGAGCAGTACATGTTTTGTCCAAGAGAGCCCTTTCTCAGGCTGTCTTACACGGCTTGTTAGTTGATTTACCCTGATTTATCCCCCCTCTTTCCTTTTCATGTGATGAAATGATTATTACAGCTATTGACGTCAAGAATGTGTTAGATGTCGTCATCCTGGGATAAAATGTCTGGATCTAGACAAGTAGGATGGCAGTCCCTGAGCTCTCTCCACTGATTGTTTTTCCTCAGAGGGCTTAGCTATTCAGCCAACTGATGGCTGATCCCCAAACGCAAGACAACGGCGTACTCACAGACACACTCATCGTACATAAGGGGGGAAGAGAACTTATTAGTCATATCGTGAAAGTTCATGAACATCAGTCTGAGAATCACTAAAGAATTGGATCAGTTTCTATTATTCATTATTCTGTAGACTACTGCTCATGCATAAGCTACATTTTGTATTCTTTGTATTGAATGAGTGGCTGTAACCAGATATTTTCATGGTTGAAGGAACTACACTGCCAGATACCTGACCAACATCTGGTCGGTAAAGTAAAACACTGGATATAAACTGCCCTGTGATCTGCTCTGTGTATGTACACCCGCTTATCAAGGGAGACGTGTTTCTGGCTGATACGCCGTTTTGAATGTGTGTCAGATTGGTATAATGCATATCTACAAGCATGTTGTTAGAATTGACAGTAATTATACAAGGCTTGCTGCCGGCAGGCTCAGAAGCTCGGGATTAGCAACGGTATAGTCAGCATCAAAAGAATTCGTGCCACAACGAATAAACTGAATGATGACTAATAATTGTGGCGTCAGAGGTAAAAAAGTATGCCAATGGCCAGCATGAAACTGTCTTTGTTAGGCCATTATCAGTGCATTTAGTACGAACAACAGTTGCACATCACTGACAGCTTTGCGCAGCTGTTTCTTGACCAGGCCCTTGTGAACCATACGAAATTGTCATTACTAACGTGCCAATCCTTCTCGTTTCGAAGACTTCGTTTGCACAAAATTAACAAACGATCACATTCAAACTCTTTATAGGTGCTCCAGAAGGCTTACATCAAATAAAACCCCACAGAATCATGAAAAGAAATGCTACATAAAAATGAAGTTTAGCCTCAAAGAGGTTACTAAGGCGATAAAATATTTCCATTTTCAATCGATCTCTTGGTCTTTTTTCCCCACTAAATTTCTCAATTTTAGAAGTTTTTCCAGAACAATGAGACACTGCATGCGACAGGCCAGAATCTCAACTACACAATACAATCAGTTTTATCTAGCTAGATTGTTTTATTTGACTGAAGCTGAGTTATTATACTCTTCTGCGCAGCGCGATCTACGTGCTTTATGCACAAAATCGATCCAGCCACGAACCGTGCTCGGTACATATGACGCCGTCCAACGGTCTGTTACACGCGTACTGTACATTACGCTACACTCCAGTGCATAGTACTGTACATGTGTGTGCGCATGTACTTGCACATATATATGTGTGCAATGTGTGGAAATTTTGCGTCGGAACCAGTGCACACATTTTCATGTGCTTCTTGCATGGGGATTTCAACATTCCCTGACAATGTTATAATGACAGAAACACCTTGGTTTCAATTATAAACCTCATTTTAACTTACTGTACTTCTCTGTTCGTCTTTCGTTCCCGAGTCACTGAATTCTTGCTCTCGCAAAGCCAAAAGATTATGCCGGATAAACGGAATCGGTGCTGAGTCAAGTCGATGCAAACGCATCCAGTCGGGAAGAGAAAAAAAAATAGCGGAAACTTGTCAATAAATCTAAAACCTTTACACTTTTCTCCGCCACAGCTCACATTTGAAAACTTCAGGAAAACTTTAAATTCTTTGTTTCGAGCCTTCAAAAATCACATAAAAATGTCAGCAAAGTACCGCTTACAAAAAGAGCTTTTCACAAAAGCCACGCATTTTTCAAGAGAGAGGCGACAATTCTTCCAAGGGAATATGCCACTCAGGTACGGCACAGAAACTCTGAACAGGGTTTGGTGTAAAGCGATCTGAGTTCTTCCGCTGTTTCAACTTCAAAGGAGCCCGTAATGGTACCCAAACTACGTTTGATATAATGTGAGCATCCATTACTAATTCGATCACGCACTATCCACTAAGGAATCTTTACATCATTCCTAGCATAAATCTGGTACAGGTTTTTTGTTACTGTTAGGTGATGGCTGTCAGCTGATTGTACAAAGATGGAAGACTTGGACCTAATCATAATTGGGATCTGTTTATTAAAATCTGAACCTATATTGACAAGTGACCAATGGCAGATCAGAGGGGAGTGCTTGCGGGGACCATTGCCCCCCTCCCCCCAAAGATGAGGATTTTTCTTATCAATCAGACTGAAGGTTATTAAGTGCTTAAAATGAAGTTTATTTTGTATCGACAAAACCACTTGGTTCAGGATTTTTTTAATTTGTTATTTACTTATTAATTTTGAGGAGATGCTTATTTTGTGACTGGTTCAATCAGTTAATGCAAAAGTGCAGTGGGAACGCTTACTCCGTCCCCCCCCGACCTGGCTCCGGCCTTGATATTGACGGGATACGGGTGCTAAATAATTCTTGAGCATGCAACGCCTAATGATGAAAGTTTTGAAGTGGTTAGTGAAAGACGAATCCAATCTCTTATTTCGGGCATTCGGCAATGGCTAAGACGAATGTGGTCAGTAATGGCGACTTTTCTTGACATAGTGGTAAATGTGGCAAACGCAAGCTAAATTTGAAACTGAACGGCAAATGACAAAATCGGCTCATTCAATATCGTGTTGGACGATGCACTGCATTTTTTGGTTTTGTTTCGGTGAAATTTTAATTTAGGGGCTAATTTCTGGAACAACCAGGCCCAGAACACGCTGAAGAAAGCTCTGAGCAGGGAGGCCAGCCTGAACCGCAACGTGGCCAAGAACATAGTATTTTTCGTGGGGGACGGCATGGGTGTCTCCACCGTGACGGGGGCCCGGATCTTCAAAGGGCAGCAGGAGGGCATGACCGGGGAGGAGACGGTCTTGGCGTGGGAGAAATTCTCTAGTGTTGCCTTCTCAAAGGTATGAAGGTTGCTGGTTTTCTGTTGGGACTAAATGCAATGGCAGAAAATATACATTTTTACATTTTTAGCAGTGACCACAAAACTGTCTGCCCGAATGCAGAAACTCACATTTGGCAATTTGTTTTAGCTGTTTTGTAAAGATTAAGGAAATTTTTTTCACTATCCGTGGTTTAAAAAATAAGGTGATCTCTGCAGATATGTACAGCCTCGTAATACCATTGACTAAAGATTCCGGGCCACGGTATAAGTAATTTGGAAAGAAGGTGGGCTGGGTAACTGGAACAGCACAAACTGTTCCTTTATTCTATGATTGCGAAGATGCACGCTACAAATTGCAATGATGCACGGAACATGGACGTCAAGCCGGCTACATGGGTCGTGAACTTTGCCAAAATTGAACGTACAGTTCAAGCAAATGTATCTTCAAGGAGCAACTTCTAAATTTCAGAATCCGTCAGCTAAAAATGGCACTTCGCACTTAACGGCAGTCCAAAGATTGACATCAAGATGTCGAGGTTGACCGACGCAGGTTTCACCTCCTCTGATCAATTTCCTCTTGCTTCAATTTTGCCACCGTACGTAAATAATTCTAACCCCTCAACCGGCAGGCCTACAACACCGATCGGCAGGTACCAGACTCTGCCGGTACGGCCACTGCGTTTTTTTGCGGAGTCAAGACCAAGTGGCAGCTGGTGGGATTAGATGACTCGGCCGTAGTGGGCGACTGCCGGTCCAGCTTGAACGCTGCAGTGGACTCGGTCATGATTGATGCTGAAAAGGAAGGTGAACAAATACGGCAAAACGGTGTATGCATGTACTACGCAGAGCCATTGTCACCGAAGAACAAAAATCACCAAGCTCAGACTGGCATACAAGAGTTGTTGATCCAAATAGTATTAAGACCAACTCAAGCAGATGAAATAAAAGATTTTGCGTCCAGACATTGCGAACTGAAATAAAGCCGGAAATAAAAATAACACAGGGGTGGCTTCTAGCTACAATTTTGTTTAGTAAAGAACATCAAAGACACACGAAAACATACACCCACACATGAGCTGCTGAATTTTTATTTGCAAGTACCAGGACATTGAATAAACATTAAGTCACCAAGCCAAACCAAGGCAATAATTATTGCTGAATTTATGCGTTTACTATGAATTAGATTTGGTTGCATGAATAAGAAGCAAATAATGAACAACGACAAGGAAACCTGCGGGTCTTGTTTATAAAGCAGTGAATGTCGTTGGATAAAAGGAATATAGGATGTCAGTGGTGGATCCAGCTTTCGAAAAAGAAGGGGGTGCACTCTTTGTTATTTGGGGGGGTGAGCGGGAATCAAATAGAGGTGAACCAAACTTGGAAAAGAGCACATTTTTATTGGATTACATGTATCTGTGTTCTAAAGTTCTCAAAGCAAAAATGAAAGTAAAACTGGTAAAACTGTTTCATGGAATAGTTCTAAATTTATAATTGCTTAATTTCCGACTCCGAAGGTATTTATGAATGGGAATGATATGCTAACGAACGTTGAAGACCCTCCAAGCACACATTCCTTATAGAGCCTGAAAGTTGACCCCTGATGGCGCACTTACGGAATCGTTGTAAAAACTTAGAATTGGTAACATATTTTCGTTCAATTCCTTCTTAAAATCTCAACTTGTAAAAACTCTTTCGTACAATATTAGATAGGCTAAGCATATTTTTTTATAGATACTGAAAAGTTACCTGACCTAGTTGAGAAATATCCTGCTAAAAACTGACCTATCACTTCCGAAAATATAAAATTCATTAAAAAAGCAGTGGAATGCTGTGGTTTTGTATACGCAGATGAGCAGTTACGGAATTACACTTGATGGGAGACTTTTGGTTATAGCTAAAATAAAAGCAGATCCAAGTATTTTAACGAATTTGTAATTTATAAGGTAATAACCTTAAAACAATATTCCGCTTTTACAAAAGATTCAAATGTTTAATCTAACCTTTGCTGACAAGAACTGTACTAGGTCAACTCAACTGAATCTAGATCCCAGTCCTTGTATAGGGTAGGCAAATCTATGCGACATTTTTCTAATATCGTTTTGTCGTAAGCGCTGGGAATGGAAACAAACGATATTGCCAGAAGTGAAAGGCCGTGAATGAAATTGGTTTTTAGCCATCTCCGCTGACTTTCCAAAATATTGCTTGAGGAGGATAAAGGGAAAATTCCGACGTAAGTGTTTCTCGGGTGGTTTCATTTGGAAATAGTTCTTCCTAAAATTATCGAACGGGATAGGACGACCCCATGTAAAATCCCCATAGGTGGACCACGCGAGGGTTTCGGAAGCTTTCTGCGTGACTGCACTCTCAGGCTCTATTACAGGAAATGTGACCCATCCCACCATCATTATCAGCCTCGTTGTTTATACCAGTGCAATGGCAAGCGCGTAGAAGAATTATATCATGCGAATGATTGAATTATATACGATTTGTATTTGTCTGTCACATAGACAGACATTGACCGACAAATCATCAGCTAGTGGACGAGCCGCATTGGAAGCACTGCCAGTGTACTGAGAAGGTTTATTATACCCAGCTGCCGACTGAGGTACTCTGGTTCACCTCCAATTGACCCCCCCACCCCTTCCATCAGTAGTGAGCGCCTCCTTTTTTAATACTGGATCAAACTCTGGTATCCCTGTTCCCTTTTCCATTTGTTATCCACACTACACACGAATTTTTGTGTTTATGGATTGGCTTGTACTATATAAATACCTTTATGAGCACATGTACATAGTGTTTTCCATATAATTTGGCCTTGGACTTGCTTGCTGGGAGGTGTTTGATATGCAGATGTTCACGAATATTTATTCAAAATGCAGGCCTTTGACTTCAATATGGTTTTTGTTTGGCTTGCTGACTGCATGTTTAATTAATTAATGTCCACGTGATTAGGAAACATTATCCAAAATGCAAACATTTGGTCAGTCATTATGTTATTGATTTTGTTCACCGGCTCAGTATCCATAATTTAAATATGTTTATATAATGCTTAACTTTCAAACAATGGGTCCACCTTTGTGTTACAGTTTGGGTTTATTTTCTGCAGGGAAGGCAACGGGATTCGTGACAACTACCCGTGTGACTCACGCCACTCCTGCCTGTTTGTACGCGCACTCGCCGGACCGTGAATGGGAGAACAATGGGGACATCCCGGAGAAGGAGGCTGCGTTGGGATGCACCGATATCGCACATCAACTTGTCACGCTGGGGAAGAACACCAAGGTAGTCTTGATTCAAGGACAGACTCAAGGCTCAGGGCAGAGATTTGTCGCAACCCCTTCTCTTTATCAGAATGGTTTCTTAAAATGTTTTCGTGTAGACCCTATAAAAATGCAGTTTTGTGTTTTAATTCGTCTTCTGTTCAATTGTCCTTTTTCGGTTTATAGACAACTGGAAATGTACATAAGCCTGAGTAAAAGACTGTGATCTTATTCCAGGCGGAAACCGTGTTGCTGCAAACTTTGTGCACCGAAACTGCTGAAATTATTGATATTCTGCTGCCATTCTAAATTTCCTTTCTAATAGGGATTCATCGCTGTGTAAGGAAAAAGGAGCATAACAATCAAGCGCTGGAAGTATGTTTAAAAATTAATCGCATGAACCATTTGAATCAAACGTTTTAAAAGTTACTATAAGCTGGTTATTTCCCAGCCATTTCCATGCAGGTCATGCCCACGCAGTCGAAAAGAAATTGTCAAACTGCTTGCGCGATTCCGCTTATTTTTGGGGTGCACAAGAGAGTGGTTGTCATGTTCAGGTCGACTTATAAAGTGGAGATCTACTGTATAAACAAGTGAGCTGAATATCTCATGATCTCGAATGTAGATATTCAAAAGTATACGCTAAGCTTGTGTATGCGGGCCAGAGGTGTGCTGTGCGCGCCACGGGGCCACATGTCACGTGATTGGTTTCCTCGATTGGAGGTCCTTTTCAGCAATAAAGTCGAAGTGAGTACGACAGATCACCAAACAATGGCTTCCCTTAGGGATAACCCTGGCCACTAACAGTTAACGAACATCGCGGTGATATCACGGTATTCAAACATGGCAGCGTGCGCCCTGCTCTCCATCGTATAGAAGACTCATAGTAGGCAGAGTTCATTGTATTATTTCAGAGTCTGGTCCTGGCGAATGGGGGAAATGCATCTTCCATCCAATTGATCATCCGTCCATTTGCACCTTGTCTTGCAGAATGCTTTATCTACAAACACTAGTCTGAGTTCCGTCAGCTTTTCCGTTATTTATTCGCAGGTCATTTTGGGCGGAGGTCGACGAGAGATGACACCTACTAACTTCAGTGACTACGAATATCCATTCTTGAAAGGCCGACGGACAGACGGAAGGAATCTCATAGGTAATATGGAACTGACTCGTTAGAAGACAGTCGAGCTATTTACGTCTTCAAGGGAGACTCCGCAAGCTCATGTTGTGAAACACAATCAGTTTCCGATTTGCTGATACAGAGAAAAGTCAAATTTTAACACCCTATTCAATTTAATAAAAGCAACATCACGCCGTGAACAATGTATCGGGGTGAAACTGAATGGTAATAGGCAGAGTGGCGGGGTTTCTAACCCAATTCCAAGTTTATTTTTCTCCAATATTCCGAATCATTGGACTGTTTGGACAGACGAATGGCTGGCTAGCAAAGATTGCCAAACAAGTCACTTCGTGTGGAACCGGGAACAGTTTGATCACGTAGAGCCGGAGAAGACAGAGTATCTTCTCGGTAAGTTTCATACTGGAAAGAACGGGGGACCTTCTTTCGAATCCGGAGACTTATGCTATACCTAACGACGGCATCCGTATATTGGGGCAAATTATTCTATGCTGATTTACACACTTGATTTTCAACCTTCATTGAATATTGGTCTTGTCAACGTCAACGCTGATCCATTTATATTGTGGACAATACTTTCAGGGAAATTTGGTGCCATATTTTTCCCTGTTTGAGGTCTGTTTGAGCCCAGCCACATGCAGTATGAGGCTGAGCGAACTGACGAACCATCCATCGCCGAGATGACAGAGAAGGCCATCAGGATCCTGCAGAAAGACAAAGACGGTTTTTTCCTGATGGTCGAAGGTAAAATCAAAGTTACCGTAATCCAGTAAAACTACAGGGAAGTGGGCTGGGAGTTGACTCCACTCTACTGGCGTCGCCGAGGGCGGCACAACACTCACTTGTAAATTTGTCCTTTTGGGATTCTGAAGAGAAAAAGAAACATCGTACTGTTAGAGGTAGGGTTCGATCTGCTAGACTTTCCTCTGCAGAGTGTGAGGCTCCCACGACAGTCACACCTTGGACGGCCGGTATCACGCTAATGTCTTAACGTCTTATGGCAGGGGCTATATTTTGACGGGAGGATTATCCCGTGTCTTTCTTAGACAATGTTAATATTCCCGGTAAAAAAACTCAAATCTCCATATATTATTTATTTATTATGTAGCCGGTCGTATAGACCACGCCCACCATAGCAGCTTTTCAGGCCACGCCTTCAAGGAAACGGTGGCCCTCGAAGCTGCTGTTACCAAGGCAATGGAGCTGACCAATGAGTCAGACACACTGGTGATCGTCACTGCTGATCACAGTCACACAATGACCATAAGCGGCCATTCAAGCCGGGGCAACCCCATTTTAGGTAAAATGATGTGTGTTGAACCTTGATTAGGACTATATTTTGCAAGTTCAGTTTCGATGAAACAATGGTATTTGTACAAAAGTTATTCAACCACAATGACGCAGTTCATGTGACCTCTTCCTAGCCATACACGTTCCTTACCCCTTTGCCTGGTTCCTTGACTGTGGACCCTGGCATTGTTTGGTAAATAGTGGGTCACTAATCTGGCCATATCTAAAAAAAAAATGGAACTGGATGTACGCCTAAATTGGAGATTATAATGATTGTTGGTTTGGTTAGCTTCACTATTTTTTTAGAAAAGCTAAACTTTTCCACCAAATAGCACCATCTTGGGGAAGAAAAACAAAACGTACTTTAGTCTTTGAAATCATTGTTTCAGGTCTGAGTGACTTGGAAATCGGTGATGACAATCTGCCTTATACCACGGTCAGTTACGCGAATGGACCGGGGGGAGCTGCCGAGCTAAAGAGCTACAAAGCCACGGGAAAACGCCGCAGGCTCACCGACAAAGATACAGGTAAGAAGTGCCTGGGGAAACTGGAGTACCTGCCATGCAGGCATATTCTTTTTCCTGAAATTCCGCTTGTGACTTGGTCTCCTGTTGATAAGCAAAATTAAGCTGTTTTGCGAAACTGTTTGTAACTCCAGTTTACACGAGGGAGAAAGAGGAGCTTGTTTAATTAATAAAACCGTGAGGACTGTAACGTACAGGCAAGTGGAAATGAATGGAAAAGTGCAAAGCTGCAGTAGGCCCTATATACCCGGTACAGACAGCTCTGATAGTGTTACTATATTGCCAATAGGTTAATTGGCCATTATGAGAAATTTACTGGACGGAGTGTTTTACCGTGCAATGTGTACAGGTTAAATTTGTATATCCCCATCGCATTAAACTTCAAAAAAGTTGCAAATACGATTTGAACAGTTCAATATCTTTTCGCAAAATCGGAATATATTAATAATTATTATTATTTATAAAACAAATAATCGCAGGAATTCTGAGGTTCATTCAGCCGGCTCTTGTCCCCATGAGAGGAGAAACACACGCTGGGGAGGACGTGGCTATCTACGCCAACGGGCCAATGTCGCACCTCTTCCACGGTGTCCACGAGCAGAACTACATGGCGCACGTTGTGCGCTACACCGCCTGTCTGGGGGACAAGAAACACTGCGAGGACTGCAACGATGTGGAGGGGCAGGGCCGTGACCACGGCGATACCTAAAGGGGGCGTTCCAATGGTTACAGTGTTTGTCAGAGTTCGGATGGTCCTTGATTTGTCTGAATGATATGTCTTTACATTCTGAACGAAAAATATGGACAAAAAGGTGAAGATGAGATCTACAAATATCCCATAATGAAACAACCAAAAAATACTATGTCCCGTAGACCATAGTGCCAACTCGGATTAATTATGTTTAGTGAAAACAATGCATGAAATAGCAGTTGAAATTGCTACTTGACCGTTAAAGTTGTCAATTTGCTGTGGTCTTCTTGCATCATAGGACTCTCTTCAAGTTTTCATTCGGTTTCAAGTATAGCACATCATAATTCTCCATAGTGTGCCCAGGCCACCAGTAGAGGAATGGTTTTCAAAGTGGGGAGGGGGGATATCAATAGACCACTAGGCATCAGCCATTAATAGGTCGATCCATTGAGCCCAACACAATTATAGGCCCTAGCCTACAAAAATGGCCAGGGCATATGCATGATGGAAACGGGATTTTAGCTTAAAAATTAACACTTCGTGAAATACGTCATGTAAGTGTTTATGGGGATTGTTTTTGTTTTTTGAAATTCTTGGTGGTGTGAAAAAATTCATCCCGATTTTTCAAATCTACCTATTACCTCTTGAAAAGATAAAAGGTGTTTATGTATATTGCCAAATTTGGGGACTTCATGGGGGGCTGGAAAAAATGATTGATGTTGATATTTCCATAGTTTACTTCCTAGTGTATGAACATCTGTGGTTTTGTGGAAAACAGTGTGAGATCAATCAAACTTTTGGCGACGGGTGTTAAAAGAGGAGTGGGAGACTGGGACGCTTGGGTCTTGGTACCCAATTATGGTTACCTCCTTCAAAATTTGAAATAAATAGGCTCACAAGGTGTATTCATGAAGTTTGTGCACAGGCTGCTAAGGTTATTATTGTATGCTTATGGCCAACGCGTTACGTTTACAGCGGGCACTGGAGCAGGGTACCCAGAAGCCAGTAAACATTTAGAAAATGGCAGCCAACCATGGCAATGGTCCCGGTTTCAAACTAACCTTCAAACAAGTTTTCTTCCCATAGCAGTTCACCAATAGACCTTTTTCGCTATTGAATTCATAATTATGCACGCATGCACACAAATGGCCTTGGCGACAAGAAGTGTGAGCGGGCCATTGAGAACGCACGGGGGTGCGATTTTGATAATTTCTTTCAAGGTTTCTGAACGCCAAAATGTTGCCATCCCGAGCCAAGTTCACAGCAAGAGGATTTTTGTCAACGAAAACTACGATTTCCGGGAGTTAAACCTCCCGTGTTTCCAGATATAATTTCCTTTAAACTTACGTTAGTTGGTAAACTGAGAATGGATTTCAGAATTCCATTGACGTGCTAACAGACGTTAAAGTGTACACGGTCACGAAGCATAATCGCGCACGCACAAGTATAGAATATGTAGGGCCGTCCGTCCGTGTTACGCACGGGCACAAGTCGACTGCAGTAACTGTACGGCTCGATAAAGTTTTTCATGAATCCACGGTGTTGCAATGTTACATTTTACGTACACGTATTACTTAAGTAAATTTACTGAGTAGTTTTGACCATGGACAAAATGCGCTTTTAAAGGGCTATAGCAGATGTCATGTTAGTTCATCTGTGGATAGACCACGAGAGTATGCCGTTTGCTCACTCAGAACGCCCAGTATTTCATTTTTTCCCCCAAGGTATATTTCAAGATCTTCAATTTGACCGTTGAAGAACACTGCTGTCTTTTTCCCAAACCCTTAAGTCTGCCAATCTTGTAAAATCACGACGAAACAAATGGTGTCACCTCCCTTTAAGTGTTGGATGTACATGTACTTGAGAAATATGACGGGAGGTCGTGAATATTTCCCCCCGCCATAACTGAGAACATACACTATAAGCACTCTCGCACAAGCAGATTCTTGCGCAGTTGAGGCAGTTCCTTGTATGTGCTCCAAGGGTTATAGGAACCAAAGGATCTGGCCTTGCAGAATCAATGATTCTGCACCAGACAACGCATCGTTGATTACGCGTCAGAAAAAGCTGACTTTGAAGCCGACTTTGAGACTGACTTTGAGTCTCGGTCTCTTCTGGGTGATGACTCCCTAAACAGTCAAAAGTATCCTGTGCTTGATAAATCAGTGACTACAAAATCGATGGTTGGTGGAATGAAAACAAAAATGGTCCTCGAGTCGAACGCATCATCTGCAGGCGAAAATCTGTTAATTTGCCAAAAGTTCCTTAGCTCCATGGCTTTCTCAGGACACCCCTTTCCCGACCAAAATTGATCCCAACAAGCGAGACTCCATTTTTTGTGCCTTTCGGTCCATTCCTATCTCGATTGTACGGCCTGCATTTGGGTAAAGAGCAAATTTTGCGATATTTAACAAGGTGTATCATTTCACTCAACTTATAGCAGCCTTCGCTGCCAGGAAAAACTCGGCTTTATTTTGGTTTGCGACGTCTAGCGCTGAGATATTCTCAATGTTTAATCGATTAGAATTCGGAGACCTTTCAACGTGAAAAGAGCTGGGCCTTTTTGCAATTGTACCAGACGTCAAATATGTAAGCCCGCTTGAAAGATTTGTTATGGAATTATTTATTCAAATGATATTCACAATTTTAATGTTTGGTCTCGTTTGCCTGGGTGTTACAGGTGCCACTCTGGAAAAAAATGCCCATTGGCCTCTCTCTTTTAGACCGTGGAGGGGGTAATTTTTCTTACAATTTCCTCATTTATTTTTCTGATTGTCAAACTGCCACGCGTAGACGACTTCTGAAAACATTTTTTGGTCACGGGTGTGTTTGTTCAGCAATTTTCTGGGAGCTTTTGGAGAGAAATGTGAAGCAAGATACCGGTATTAGACGGAGAGAACCCCCCCGCTTTGTGTTGGTCATTGTTTCACTTGAATCTCAGGGATTCTTTTCAGATATCTGGGGGGATGTGTTAGGTAACACTATAGGCTAAAATGTGTATAACGATTGGACATGTGGGGTGTACCCCTCGGTCTTATTTCTTGCTGGATATAGTTAGGGTCCATCCAACTTGATCTCAGCATGACGATGAATTACCGTAATACGGAGCTCTGGAAGTTCCATCCGACTTGTTAGATCCTGACATACTTTTTGTCGGGATGACAAAATAATACAGGCAAGATATTGACATCGTGAGATAATTTATTACGGGATGAAGAAATCATAAAAACGCAGGATGGAAGAAACTGGTTCTCAGCCCTCCGTAAATTACCATGTGTACAACTAGCCCAGGTTGGACATTGTCTTCATTTCATTACAACTGACGTCAAGGTTAAAAAAAGTTGTGTACAAAACGACCACAAAATTGGTTCTATTTTGTTCTTTGTTAATCTTGTTGAAGAAACTAATTTTTCACGTTTACAAGTTCTTCGTGGCCTCATCTATCCGTCTGGGAGGTTTAGGAATTTCAGAACGAACCATGGACTGCAACATCGAGGAAAATAAGTGAGAGACAACAGTACTTTTATGGACGTAATTCGTCCGTTCTTGAGTTGTAAAGTGCACGCACGTACAGGTATCGAGCTGCGTGCACGCACTAGGCGTGCGCGATTTTCAGTAAAGATCAGTTGCACGCTTGCTACACAGAGGCCGTTACTAGTACCCGGCTTTAATCTGCGTTCCCTCGAGCCGATATAAAAATGCAGTTCCATTTTTGTCGGATTGGGGACTTCGGACTGACCAATTAACCCCCTATTTATTACCTCTAAAATGTTCAGATTTTGTTCTGAATCTGCTTTATATGTCGGTTTATAAGCGTAAATTTGCGACACATCCTGGGACTGTTGTAAGAATTAACTCTGTTAGCGTAGCAGGCTTTGTATAAGCAGGGTATTTGTACGGGAATAAGTTCATCAACGAAATCTTTGAAGTGTATAACATGTTCAATTTGTTCGTAGCGTTTTTATTGGGTAAAGATGTGTAAATACACAATATTGTAGAGATCCGAATTTTATTAAAATGAAACAGTACAGTAACTTATCTTGATAATTGAGGAATAAAAAGATGATTAAATTGCGGGCATGATGATCGTGATGAACAGGCGAGAACGGCGCCATACTGATCGGGAACACAGTATGCAGCGATCATGCACAAACCGTGCTGTTGATCAGCCTTTTTTAATTCGTAAACTAAACCTACAATAAGCAGACTAAAGCGTTAATTGGCTGTGACGAGTTGGATTTTAGAGCAATGGGCAAAAAGCAAGACTGCGTTGAATTTTTTAAAAAATTCTCCTAATAAAAACATACGATTTGGGTGGTAGGGGTGGGGAGATGCTCTCTTAAAACCTCAGCCTCACGTAGGCCTACATCAAACAGCTGGAAACTCAAATTCATGTATACTATGCAGTTGTTTGGAGTCCTCTGTAATCATTAGTGCCTTCCGATATTCTCGTCAATGTTTTTCACAAGTGAAGAAATCATGTCGCCGAACATTTTTTTTCCGTGGGCTTAAAATTCATTGGCTTGGGAAGTGACGTTTATGGTCATGCTTGAGCCTCGTGTCGTTATTGGGCGATGGATCCCTAACTATGTGCAATTTCAAAATACGCAGTAATCTCAAAATAGGTAATTTTTTCGTTTTGAATTCAAGTCCAAGAGATTATGACTGTTAATTGTTGTTATTGACCCTCATCAGTCTAGTTTATTTTTAAAAAATACCTATCTGTGCCAGCGCTTTCTGGAAAAGTTCTCCATCCCTAAGAAAAAAAAAATGCATTCGGTATAAGTTTTAAAATGGGACAGAGCAAAGGATATGAGTAAACTGCTAGCAACAGAAATGTACTAAAGCCTTGCTGGATAATACCCTCTCCCCTCGACACGGAACTGCCGGGAGTCCATTAACTTCTATCAAATTTTGTGGACACCGTTTATCTGTCTCTTTTAAGTTCACCTATTAACACATGATACATGCTAAAAAAAGGGATTTGTACAAATCATGAATTTTAGCTTTCCTGTATGTTACGGGACGTATGTCACCAGTCCTGGAAAAATACTGTGCGTGCATAGGGTTGCACGACACGAAATACGCGCTCATAGAAAAGAGCGCAAAATCAGACCGGGACACTCAAAAACAGGTTGGCCTTCGTTTTTTACTGGAAATTAAAGATTATGGCCGGAAGATCACTTTTCGTTCAATTTTATACGGGTTAGCCACGTGATTTTTTTATTTGCCTTTCCCCGAAGATACCCCCAAAATAGTAGTAAAACTATGCGCTCAGCTCAGCTCTGGATGTAGCCGCCCGCTTCTATCCCAAATAGGCCCGCAAATTGGGGATTTTGTGGATGAAATACCCTGGAATTGGAAACTGCCAGTCCGAAATTCGGGACTTACAGAAACATTTCTATGATCCCCCTGATTATGGCATGACTTATTGTAAAAGCTGATCGGGATCACAAAAAAATTAAGGAGCTCACGCGCATATATCCAACGATTTGGTGGAATGCACTCATAGGGCCTACAAGATTTGATCAAGAAGAATGGTATCTATTGGGATCATCCGTCTCTAAGGGCGCCCCCTATCTCCACTAGTAATGAGGCGACGGCAAGAGCACAATGCCACGGCACGACATGACGTCAAGGGTCGACGGCACGACGCGACTACACGACGCGACAGCTAAAGGCCACGACGCAATAGGTCGATGGCAGGACGCGACGGCACGATGCGACAGATCTGCCGAAACGTCGCGTCGTGGCGTCGCTTCATGGCGTCCGAGCGACGGGACGACGCGACACACATTTGGTGGCTATAGAACAGTATATTCCAAGGCTCCGTAAATTTCTTTGACAAAGTAAGAATCGATGCCAAAAAGCTACCCACTGGGGATCAATGTGTAAAGAGTGCGGG